CTGTCACGCCCACCTGGCTGCAGGCGCGCGGGCCACCTGCAGCGGCTGGCCGCTGGCTGCCGCTGAACTCTGGACCTCCGAAGTTCTTTCGAATGGTCCTCGGGGCTGTCGGCCATAGAGGACCCCATTTGTCCCTGGGAAGCGGCAGCAGCTCCCTGCCCCACCGTACCAGACTTGGGAACCTGTGCCAGGACAGTATGGGCCGGCTAAAAGAAGGGGCAGGGCACCTTACCTCCGGAACCCAAGCTCGAGCTATGGCAAGGACCGGGATTGGATTGTTCTTTCTGCCCTTGCTGTCCTTTCAGGATCTGGGAAGACCTCACCACCAAGAGGGCAGTACCAGTGATCACTGTGCCCTGCAAGGTGGAAATTACCTGCCTCAAATCCTACAGTTCCTGAGATGGAGGTTACCCTGGGCTCCCTCGGATGGCGGTATACTCGCCCCACACCACACCGCCCCGCCTCTTCCCTCCTTTTAGGGAAGCTTCTGTAACCTCTGCCCCCTGACAACCCCTGCTCCTGTCATCTCAGAGCCTTCCTGCAAGCTTACACCGTGTCGGTGACCACACTCACTCCTGAGCCCTCTGCCAGATGCCGCCTTGAGCTAACGCCCGGCCTCACCCAAACCCTGTGGCCTAGTACAGTCACTGCACCTTCTCCCAAATGAGGAAACCGAAGCGCCAGGGAAATCCCAGAGTGCTCTCCTCTCAGGCCCCACCCCTGGCGTGGCACCCTATCAGATACACACCACTCTTTAGGCCTGAAGGTGAGTACATGGGCAGCGAGCCCTTAGCACAGAGCAACCTGTGTGACATAAAAGCCAATAGAGGCAATATGAAGCCTTCACAACTACAGGGAAGCTTGTGCCAACCCACCTGTCATCCAGAGCAGCGGGACTTCCAGGATCCTGCTGGGCAGTGGCAGCAGGTGCTGGCACCAGTTGGCAATGGCTCACGAAGGCCACCACACACATCCCTTCCAGCTCTGAGTCCAGTGGCACTGCTCTGTAGCCTGAAGTGGGCAATACTGGGGGCATTTGCACTAAAGAATTTGGTGAACATCTCAACTCAGGACTTTCTCCACAGAGATATCTCATGGTTAAACAGTATGTTTGGCACTGGGCTGGCATTTGGCACCTGCCTGTTAATTTATACTATCTAATCCCACATCTACCTTTCAAGAGAGGCATGAGCACAGAGCCCACACAAGCAAAAGCAGAAAAGCAGGTGCCATCTCTGCAGATCTGAGCGTCCTTGGAGGCAGGGCTCTGATCTGCACCCAGATGGGAGGTTAAGGCAGGGGAGGGAGGTGGATGAGACACCTTCCTTGGTCCCTGTAAAGCTAAAGTTCTCATTCTGAGTACCACTGGCAAATTCCAGGCCTTCCTAAGTCTTGGTTTCCCAACCTGCAGAATGGGCTGGTCATCCTGGCTTGTCTACTTTAAGGGCTGCCAATTCCTCCTAGGCTTGGTCAGTCCAGAAAGGACACCCTGAGCCCAGGCATCGCTGTGGTGAGTGTGTTGAGGCCTGACCAAGAGAACTCCAAGACAGCACGGCAGTGACTATGTACCAGCACTCACAGTCTGGCTTCCTCCTCCTTCCAGTGGCCACACTAGGGATGGTGTGTGGCACCATGCCTGCCTGGTGATAGAGGAGACAACCAGCCATTCTCATCAGCACCTATAGCTGCTGCCCTCCCACACTGGTAGGTATATGTGAAGTGTGGCTATACCCACAAATCAGGGGGGCCCATCCAGGCTGCGGTGCACAGGGGGAAACCTGTCTCTTAAGTGCTCTGTGCTGAGTTCCCAGGCATGATTTCACACAGTCCTGCTGACACACTTCTCATGATGGAGAACTTGGTTCCTATTACCAGCCCCTGACCATTTGTAATGGTTGATACATTGTGTCAACCTGAGTTTAGGATTTTAAGTGACTCTGCAGAGGGCCAGGTCCTCACTTTGTAAATGTCCTCATCCTGAGCAAGAGGAGGGCACAGTGATGGTGTGAGTGCTACATCCCCTCTTGGGTGGGTGTAGCCTGCTTAAAATATATGGGAAGAAAAGAGGCTTGCTCTCCCACCCCTTTCACTCTTCTTGCATTTGCTGTCTTCTGCCATCTTGAAATATTGCCCCTCAGCCATGCCACCCTGCCTTGGAGCCAGCTGATTATGGACTGAAACCTCCATGAACTGTGAGCTAAATAAACCTTTCCTGCTTTAATCTTGGGTGTTGGGGATTTTGTCTCAGCAACAAGAGAAAAGTAACCCAGGCACTATTAGAGTCCATAGCCAAGGGATACTGGATAAGGTCCCTGTCCCCTGTGCAAAGAATATCACCTGGCATCAGGTGCAGGTCTTGGGATTCCAGCAGGTGGAGCGTAAGGGTTCTTTGACTGGAACTTGGAAGCTGGGACTTTGAAGGAACCCTTTGTGTGCCCTTAGCCAGGTTACTACACATCTCTGAGCCGCCACATCCCTGGTGCTAGGACAAGGGAAGAAGCATCTCTGCGAGCTTTGCGAGCTGTCCTGAGGATCCAGGAACCAAGGTTGTAGAGGCTACTCTAATGCAGGGGCCCAGGGGCACGATGATGTAGCACCTACCCTGGTGCTTAGAACAGCTGTCTCAAAGGCCAGCTGGCCAGGTGGGCATGAATGATACTGCATTTCGCAGCTGACTACACGGAGGCCTGGCACAGAGACGTCCCAACTTTCAATAACTGCTCAAGGCCACAGCATGAAGACCCCAGCCCACACCTCTCACGCCAGCCTCCCAAGGCTTGGCACTTCCCAGTGTCCCAGTGCCATGGGTCTCCTGCATGAGACATTTTCCCCAGTCCATCTGCCTTAGTGCCCCAGCCTGAGCTGGTAGCAGGCACCTGCAGGCACACATCTACTCCATGAGATGAAGCTCCAGGACCACATCATCAGTTTACTCATCTGCAAGATGGGCACAATGGTCATGCCCAGCAGCTTCAGCACATAGTAGGTGCTCAAGAAATGTTTGTGGAGGAAGAGAGGCAGAAGCAGCCCTGTTGCCTCTGCTCACATCAGGGCCCACTGAAGTTCACTAGGTCAGTGAGAGTCCAGCCTTTCCGATCGGAAGCCCAGCCCCAGCTACTAATGGGGTGCATATTTCTGGTTGCCTTCCAACAACAGGATACCATTAGAAATGTTTTGAGGTGTGACATGTGAACCAGAAAGCTACCCCAAACAGTGTTCTAAGTAAGTACTAGTCACTAAATAGGGCCTTCTCCATGATTGGAGAGGATACTCAGTTCTGGTAGAGTAGACAATGCCATTTAAAGTAAAAATTATTGGGCTGGGTGTGTAGCTTAGTGGTAAAGCACTTGCCTAGAATGTGTGGGATCCTGGATTCAATCCCCAGCACTGGGGAAAGGAAAAGAGAGAGAGAAGGGAGGGAGGAGGGGGAGGGAAGAGGAAGGAGAAGAGAAAGAAAAAGAGGAAAAAGAGAAAGCAGGAGGGAGGGGAAAAAAGAAAAAGTATCCATACTGGGAGAAAAAGAGAACACAGAGATGTAGGAGGAAGGCAGAGACCATCTAGCCTCTCCCACAGCCTCTATGGCCTCAGTTTCCCCATCTTTAAGGTAGGACCCAATGAGCAGGATTCACCCCTGGACGTCCTATGCCTCTGTCTCACCCCTTCTCAGCCCAGGGTATGTCACATCTGGTGGCACTTTAGCATCCTGCAGCTCAAGAAACCCCTCCTTCCTGCCTGAAAGATTGACTGTGGGGTCTGGGGTGGTCAGGACTCAGGGGCTGGGGGTGTCCGAGTGACCCTAACACCCAGCAAGGCCTGAAGCCACAAGAAGGCTCCAGGTTCTTTGACAGCCTGACACCAAGTAGGTGATCTGCCCAGGGTACCCACCTGCAGGGTGAGCACTCACGGGAGACAGCAACAGAGCAGACCCTGCCCTGACCCCAGGGCACAACGGGTGTCATTTCCCTGGATTCGCTGGGACCAGTTTCATGCTGTGAGCCTCTCGGGGTTGTTCCTTCCAGGGAATTCCTGAAGTGCCAGACTTTGTGGGGGTTGGATGCTGAGCCCGGCTCTCAGGTGGTCTTGAAGGGCAGGCAGGTACCCACCTGTCCCAGAGGAAACCCCAGGTCCTGCCACTGAGGGGACAGCCAGCCAAACCAGGACAAATGCTGCTCTGGCAGCGAGCGGTAGCCACAGACCACCATGGGGCAGCCCGTGAAGGGAGGGACTCAACGTCCCCTGGACTCTGCGAGTGCCAGGGACCACACCCGGCCCGTCTGATGGTACAGGACTAGGCAGTGACTGTCACTCGGAAGTGGGGGACACAGCCTTGAGAAAAGACCATGTGCAGAGGCCACATCACCAAAGACTAAATAAATCAGCATAGTGGCTGCATATGCTGGCTGCTCGCTGTGGACATCTCGATGTCTCCAGCATGTCCTGTTCCCAGGGGCCACCAGTCTCCAGGCAAAGTGGGCAAGAGTCAGGACTGAGGCTGTGTTTGCCAACCAGAAAGACCCAAAGTTGTATGAGAGTGACACTTGCTTTTGACTTTCCTTGAGGAGCTGAGTGTGCTATGGGAAAGGCTCAGAGTGTTGCAAGCCCAGAAGCACCCAGATTTTGCCTATGCGGGGTATGGTCTTCCAGGAGCACCCTGGCCATTTCCCCCCATCAACACTAAGCCTCAGCTGCCACGAGATCCCTCTGGGCCCAGAAAGGAGGTGGGGCCTTGAGAGGAAGGGTGCGCGCCCCAGAAGGACTGGCTGCAGGAGAGGATATGAGCTTCCTTACCAAGCCCTGAGAACCACCTGTGGACAGAGCCTGGGTGGGGAAGGAGATAATCCAGCCTTTGTTTCTTTTCTTTTTTTATATATAATGAAAAAGATAAAAGATGTGTGGTGGTGCACACCTGTCATCCCAGTACTCAGGAGGCTGAAGCAGGAGCATTGCCACAAATTCTAAGCCAGCCTGAACTACACAGTGATACCCTGTGCCCCCCTGCAAAAAAAAAAAGATGATGCATCCTTTCCTGTACTTTCAAATTTTATCATGTGTTGATTTTTTTCATAATAGCTTTACTAGGATATAATCCACATACTATAAAGTATATTCTAAAGTGCACAGTTCTAGAGTTCTTAGTACATTCATAATGTTACACAACCATCATCTCATCTAATCCCAGAAAATTTCATCCCCCCTAAAAGAAACCCCATCCTTCTTAGCAGTCACACCCTCTTCTGTCTTTTCCTCAGGCCCTGGAAACCACTAATCTACTTTCTGTTTCTATGGACTTCTCTATTCTGGACTTTTCATACAAATGGAATCTCATGGTACCTGACCATTTGTGTCTTCTTTCACTAAGCATAGTGTTTCCCAGGTGTATCCACGTATTAGTACATCGTTCCTTTTTATGGCAAATAATATTTCATTGTCTGGATACACCTATTGGTTTTTTGTGTGTGTATATTTGAGACAGAGTCTCACTACATACTTCTGGCTGGCCTTGAACTTGCAATCATCCTGCCTCAATCTCCCAGCTTCTGGGATTACAGGCATGCCCCGCCATACCGGGCTGTATTGATTTTTTAAGAGCACATGCTCATCACAGAAAATCTGTAAAACAAAAAGTAGAAATAAAAATGTTTTAGGGCTAGAGCGTAGCTCTGTGGTAGTGTTTGCCTAGCATGCACGAAGCACTGGGTTCAATTTCCAGCACCACCAACAAAAAAAAATTTTTTTCAATTGTGCCAAGTGTCACTCCCCAGGAGTGATTCCCAGCATACCACAGTAGGGGGCCTGAGACTGTCTGCATGTGTGTGTCCACACAGGAGATGCTCAACAAGTTCCAAGCAAATAAGCAAATATAGTTCAAATCTTTTTCTCCTAAGCAGACTTATTACTTAATTGCACCTGATTAGGCTCATGCTAGATATAAGCTCATATATCCTATTTGTTTTGGTCCGGGCCATGATCTTTAGCCCCTTAAATGTTGTGGGATGAGCAGGTATCTGTGATTTCCACCCCCGACCTCTGCTGAAGAGGGGCCACCAAGCATAGAGGACACCATTGCACCAGCCTCTACTGACCAGACTGCTCTAAACTGCACCAGGCCGCTCTTTGTCCCAGGAACTGGAACCAGGAATTTTCAGGTGCTAGGGGTGAGTCCTGAGCCTTAGGAGTGGTGGAACCCCATTAAAGCCTTGCTGATGATAATGACGCTGAAGATAATTATAGCCAACACCCATGAAGCACTCAGTGGGTGCTAAGCTAAGGCTTTGCAAGAATGCCTCATATACCCCTGAGGGCCCCTGGAGGTGGCACTGGAACTATGTGGGAACACAGCAGAGAGTAGCCACCCATAATGCCCGAGCTCCACACCCAGCAGGTGTGCTCCTGGCAGTGAGCCCAGGAGGCTGACGTATCCCCACCCAGCAGCTGCCATCTGGCCTGTCCTCCGGCCTTTGTGCCGAGCCCTCAGTCACGTGAGGCTCCTCTCGTGGGGCTCTGTCCTCTTGGGCAGGCAGGTGAGTCGTGATGCTTGCTCACTTTCAGCTTGACCCCGGGCCCAGCCCCATCTGCTCACTGCCTTCCAGGATGTTGCTCGCCCTGGCAGTGGTATAAGTTTCCTCTTGGTGCCACTGTCTTGCCTTGTGCCTGGCAGACTGGCACAGCTTTCTAGAGAGCTGCGGCTGGAGCAAGACCTTGTGGAAACTGCATGCTCAAAGCGACCAGCAATGTGATAGTGGTGCATAAAGACGTCCATGGAAGGATTATTCATAATAAGCATTTTTTTGTACTAGGAATCGAACTCAGGACCTTGCGCTTCCCAGGCAGGTGCTTTGTAATAAGAATTATAAATCACCTTGATGTTTAGCAATTGGAAAAAGGTTAAGCAAACCATGTTACTCCTACACAATCAAGTACGATCACAGCATATAAATGGTATTTGTAGAGTTTTATAATGGCAAAAGGAAGTGATTAGAGATAATGGGAAGTGACAATGGGTAGGATTAGAAGGAAACACACCAACAGGCTGCCAACAGACAGTTCCACTCCGTGCACTTCGCTTTCTCTTCCGAGAAGAGGCGGTTCCCCCTAACACCTGGCCTGGGTCTTCACAAAAAAGAGTGCGGATAGACTCCCTGGCAAAACCATCAGATAAATAAGAAGGCCAAAGGGGAGAGCGTGCACAGCGCAGCTTTGGATTTGGAGGCCCATAGACCTGACTCAAGTCCTGTTAGCCATGACTTGAACTTATGCATTTGTTAACATCTGTGAGCTGCAGTTTTATAATTAGGCAACAGGACAGTGGAAGTGCCCTCCTTCCAAGGCTGTGAGAGAGCCTCTGGGTGAGGAAGTTCTTAGCAGCCCAGGAAGACCTCGAAACATGTTAGCTTTTGCTGCTGCTGCTGAGAGAGCAAAGTATGTGTCTGGGACAGCACAGGGGAACAGGCTTTGTGAGTTGCTCTCACCTGACTCCGGGAAAACTCCTGCCTTGGCTGGGACACAACTGCTTTCTTGCCCTGGCTTTCCCAGAAGGCCCTACTAAAACAAAAGGAATGGCTACCGAGTGGAAAGGGCCACCCAGTTTGCCAGGGGCAAGTCCTCCTCTCCCTGTTGTACAAGGAGATTCTGGGGCTGATCAGTGATGGATATGCTCAGGATACAGACTGGTAGAGTCCACAGATAGAGTGGAAAGGAACCGGGCAGTGGCTGGAGCTGGCACCTCCTGGGTGGGCATGGCACATCCCGGGGCAGTGCCTACACTTGCTCTCCAGGGCAGTTCTGACGATGGCTGCGCTGTCCTCCCATCTGACAGAGCAGGGATGACTCACACCTGGGCTGACAGTGGTCTCTCTGCCCTAAACTTCCAATTTGCACCCAGCAGGGCCCCATGCCACCCGGCAATTGGAGCACCAGAGTCCCCATGAGAAGCGGGTACCGCACTATTCTCCCTGTGTGCAGGGGAGGGTTTTTCCACTCAACAGTGAATGCCACCTGCCTGACTTGTGGGGTTTTTCCAGCAGCATCAATCCCAATTGCCTGTGCCTGTCTTGGAAGTGCCAGGCTCTTTCCGACCGAAGATGTACCCGTGCGGACACAAGGCCTTCATCAGTTACCTGTCGGCTCCGCTGTGCACCTGGTCTACCAATCACAACAGAAAATGACGATGTCACAAGACAGCCTGCCTGGTGAGCATCATTTACCTAGGGAAGCAGGGAGAGGCTGCCTGGAGAGGAGACTTGGAGCCTAGGACTAAGAGATAGATGAAAACGAAATAGTGTCATTTTCTGAAACATTTAAGTGAGGAGGCCTTTTAAGAATGACACACAATCCGGAAGCCACTTCCATAGAGTCAGTTCTTGTTATCACAGTAGCAAATACAGGACTATTGTTCCTAGGGGAAATCAGGCACTTTCAATCAGCCTCATGCACAGACTGGCCTATTTCCTCTTCTTCTTGCTAGATAGAGGGTTGACTCATTAACAAGGAACTCCCGGACGCTGCACCACACTGCACGCCAGATTGAAGTTCACCTGAGAAGTGTCTTCTCCCGGAGGAACATCACAGCCTTCTATGCTCAGGGACACTGGGCAGCACCACAGCCCTAGGCCTGGGTCAATTGTAAACAGCAAAGTCACCCACGAGAAGCATGGTACTAAATGGAACACAGGAAACCAGCAACCTGAGGGAGAAACAGGCAAAGGCTATAAGAAGAGAATTAACAGAAAAGGAGAAAAATGACTTCCAAATAGGAAAATGAGGGTAACTTTGTTCATGCAAAGAAATTAACAATTAAGGCTACAGTGGGAGCCCCCATGATGCCACCATCCCTCTACTGGGGTGACAAAAACAAGAAAGCTTGAAAGTGCGCAGAGGGCTTGGCCAGCTCCTCCCAGTCTTTGCTGGAGTGGAGGAGGAGCAGCAATCAGGAAAGTCACAGGGACACCTGGCCTTCAAGGCCACCATCCTACTCCTAGCAGCATGCTACTAAATATGTACCTGAGCTTCTGCATGCACAGGCTCAAGGACAGCACACTCGTCACAAATGACATCCCTTTTATCTTTCCTTCAGATGGCTATGGGACGCAACTTGTTATCTGACTTCTGTGTGCAGGGCTTGCATTATCTCCACATTTCAGTTCTGGTGGGCTGATGTCGTCATTCGTGTTTTGTTGCTATGAAAAAATGCCTGAGGCTGGGCATGTTGTAAAGAATGGAAGTATATTTGGCTCATGGCTCTAGAGGTGGCATCATCCGCCTAGTTAGGGCCTTCTCACTACCTTGTAACACGGTAAAGGGCATCACACGGCAGGACGAGACCAAGTGTGCCAGAAAGAGAGCTCTTTTATGACAAAGCCACTTCCTCAATAACTCACTAACCCGTTAAGCCGTTAATATATGAATGGATTAAATCATTTGTAGGGCAGAGCTGCTTGACTCAGTCACACCCCAAAGTTTCCACCTTTCAGTACTGAAAGACTAAGTGTCCACCATAAGAAAATGGGGGGTGTCTTAGTTACTTTCTCATCACTGAGACACAACACCTGACACCTACAGCTATCAGGAGGAGAGGTTTATTTTGGCTCACAGTTTGTAGAGGTTTCAGTGCATAGCTGGCTGGCTCGAAGGCAGGGCAGCATGGCAGAGGGATATCACAGAGGAGAATCAGCTCATGGCACAGCAGGCAGGAAGCAGAGAGAGAGACCAAGGGAGGAGGAGGGGGTTAGACCCTTCCAGACCACAACCCAGTAACCACCTCCTCCAGCCAGCTTTCACTCCCAATGTCACCTTTAGCTATAAACTCATCCATGGATGAATCCATTAATGTGTATCACACCCCTATGGTCCAATTATCTCCCAAAGCCCCACCTCTGAGCATGCGAGAATTCGGAGGACATCTAGATATAAGCCATAACAATCATCAGGAGGCTGGCTCTGCTCACCCCGAAAATCTACTAATCATAACCTCTTGGCCTCAGTTGCTCTTCTGTTAAATACTTCAGCACACAAGGACATGGAGGGGGTGGCGGGAGGGTCCCCCAGACTACCTGGAACACAGAAGAGGGTGCCCACTAAATGCTAATCTGTCCTTCCGAGCTCTGCTCTAAAATCTCCTCAGCATCACAGACCTGCCGAGGAAGTCACAACCTCGGGGGGCCATAGGAATGGGAGCCTCCATTTTCCAAAAGGTTTTCTGTGAGCTGCGAATCCAAGAACGAAATCATTGATCAACAAACCACAGCAGTGACCCATCTGATGAACAAATACATATTGACCTTACAGCCTGTATTGTTTTTCAGGGTAATTGGTCAGTGGCCACCAGAAGCACCCTTTACTTGAAAAGAAGACCTGAAATACGATAATATTTCAGGTCAGCAATAGGCTGCTCCCCAGCAGCCTCCAGCCTGCTGTCTTCCACATCAGGATGCAGGTCTAGGCCTGGGTGTCTGAGGATCAGGGAGTTGGGAGTGGCCAGCGGGCCTTGGGCCTGAAGCAGAGGAAGCCAGATCCGGCCAGATCAGACAGCACAGAGAGCAAAGCCGGAAGGTACAGAGCTGAGAGGCAGAAGACAGCCTTTGGCCTGGCTAAGCGCTCTTCTCAGACGCCTCAACTGGACACTCCATCCTCAGTGTCAGTAGAGAAACTGAGGTCCCGAGAAGAAAGCTGAGCTGTCCAAGGGCACACGGTGAACACATACATCATCGCAGGGCCAGCGCCAGGCCCTGTCCCTGCTCCAGGGCAAAGCAGCTCACATTTCAACCCTGAGGAGTTAGTTACCTATGAACATTAACCTGATAAGCAGACAGGTCTCTGAACATAGGCGCCATGGGGGTGGCATGGGACGGGTGGGGTTTAAAAAGAGAAACACAGAGGCACTAGCCTGTAATCCCAGCACTTTGAGAGGCAGAGGCAGGAAGATCTCAGGTCTGAGCCTAGCTTGAACAATTTAGCAACTTAGTAAGACCCTGTCTCAAGATTAAAAAAAGTAAAATAAAAAAGGTTGGGATTTAGCTCAGGGTGAAGGCCCTGGGTTCAATCCCCAATATAAGAAAGAAGAAAGGAAAGAAAGAAAGAAAGAGAGAGAGAGAAGAGGCAGAGAGAGAGAGAGAGAGAGAGAGAGAGAGAGAGAGAGAGAATAAAAGAAAGAGAAAAGGACCTAGTCAAAAATATATATTAAGGGCATACTGGAGCATACCTGTGGTCTCAGCTGCTTGCCAGGCTGAGGCAGAAGGATCACCTGAGGCCAGAAGTTCACAGCCAACCTGGATAACATAGCTAGATCCAGTCTTTAAAAAAAAAATCTTTAAGAAACAAGGTTAAAAGGCAGGCATGTACTTGAGAAAAGGGTTTAAAGCTAAAGGGGTATCATTACTAATCTGTTAATATGCACAATGGTCATGTGAATCAAGTTTGGAAAAGACCAAACTGCCAAAAGGAAGCTATGCATAGATTCATCACAGAAGGTCACAAAGCCTGAAGAGGATCCTTTAGTCTCGCTGGGCTCTGCTGGGGAGCCCTGAGGCTGCTCCATAGCTTCAGTACTAGCTTAGCCCTCTTGGATGTTTTGTTTTGTTTCATTTATGGTAATGGGAAGCAAACTCATGACCTTGTGCTTGCCAGGCAAGTACTGCGCCACTGAGCTACATCCCTGGCCCTAGCACTCTTGTTCTAACAGGATCTGGAGTTGGCACAGGCCAGCTATGACTTCTACTTTTTGTTCCATTTCTAGGAATTTATCTCATGAATGCAAGGATTCAGGCATAGAGTCACTGATCTCCGAGCTACTTGAATAGCGAAAAAGTTAATTTCAATCTTAGGTTCCAGCTGGAGGGCCAGATATAAGAGCACAGTGTAATGTATTCCTTATCAGATGGGGCAGCAAGCAAAGCAGCTGACAGGGAGTTTCTAAAGGCTTTGCAAACTACACGGAGCCACATGCCACATTTCCACTGGTAAGAGACAATAGATTCATTAGCTGCTGCACCTCAGGTGAGGATGTGATCTTGATGTTTGTCTGTCCCCTCTGCTCTAGGCAGGTGATATATTCACCTTGGCATCTGCCCACAAGCTGTGTCTCTCTGGACCCAGTGCTCCAAGCCTGACCACCACAAGGAGCAATCAGGATCCCTGCTCTGTCCTGTGGTCTGAGTGCAAGAGCCCATGGGTCCAGCCCACACTGGCCTACATTGACAGCTTCAGATATCATTTTGGATTCTTAGCCCCTGTGCTGCTTTGGATGGTGGCTGCTCCTCATTTAGCTGAGGCTCTCAGATAGGGAGGTGCCATCACATGGTCCTCAGGTAAAACACACACAGGCAAACCTTTCTTATCCTAAGCACAGAAGTTTTAAGCTCATTTGTGAGGCAGCAGACATGACTGATACATTCTGAATTGGGTTTCTGGCACTACAAGAGTTCAGTATATCAGAACTGCAATGAAAAAAAATTAAAAGAGCTAGCAAAGAAATGACCTCAGGCTGGTGTGGTGGTGCATGCCTGTAATCCCAGCACTCAGGAGGCTGAGGCAGGAGGATTGCCTGGAGTTCAAGGCCAGCCTGGGCTACATAGTGAGTTCAGAACCAGCCTGAACCACATAGCAAGACCTTGTCCCAAAAAACAAAACAAAACAAAACAAGGAAGAAAGGATCTCAGCAAAAAGAACTGCAAGAAAATACCCTGAAAATTTGGCAGTTGTTTCTGTTTGGGTTAATTCTGTTTCTTTTTTCCCTTGTGTTATTCTGGTATTTGCAGATAGCCTGCCACAGCTATCTTGGGTGCTGCATGGTAATACATTACATTGAACATCTGCTATACACCTCTCCCAAAACCTGAGAGAGGCTGGAAACAATCTTTAAACTATTGTCATTATTGCTAAGGTTCTAATACACAGTACAGTTACATGGCTCAAAGACAGAAAGCATAAAAAGTATAATACAGAACAGCTCTTTTGCACCCTAACCTGGTTCCCCATTCCACTTCCACCAGCAGACAGTGCCATTCCCGGTTTCTGTGATGTATATAAAAATAAGGGTTTCGTGTTTGATTGTCTCCTTTTGTTCATACAAGACAGTGTGTAGGGGCTGGGGATTTAGCTCAGCGGCAAAAGCGCCTGCCTGGCAAGCGCAAGGTCGTGAGTTCGGTTCCCGGTACCGGAGAAAAACAAAAACAAAAAAACAAAAAAAAAAAAGACAGTGTGTAGCTGCTTAGCTTAATGCTAAGTTCTGAAGACCTCTCCATTCTAGTCTACACTGAGGATCCTCATTCTTTTGACAGTTGCATAATAGTCCAAAGTGCAGACATTAATTTATACCACCAGCCCATCCTGTGGCCCCAAGCAGGGCTGCAGCAAGCCTGTGACCCGTTCATGCCAAGACCATTCAAAGGATGAGCTCTCAGCAGTGCAGCTGATGGAGTCAAAAGCTTTACGGGTCTGTAATTGTGTAGATTTCACCAAATTGCCCTTGGGAGAGGTTGTGCCAATTCACACTCCTGCAGAGAGGCAGGCGGCGTCCGTTCCCCGCAGCCCTGCCCACAGAGTGTAGTAATTGAATTTGAGATTAGGGAAAGAGTGGCAATTTCCATGTCTCTTGCAATGAATGAGGCTCAGCCTCTTCCCACAGGTCGGGGACCGCTTCTGCATCTCCTTTCTCCCAGTTGCCCAGGGTTCGTGTCCAGGACCCAGTTCCAACCTGCTTTGGGCCCCTCCTCATCTGTACAGCAGAGACGACACTCCTCCTTCCTTCTCGCAGGCTCAGGAAGCTTTAGCATCCTTGGTGCTGCCAGGGCAGTGCTCTGGGTGTCCCCCAAGTCATCACTATTTACTGAGAAGGTCATGATTTCGGGAGCATGTGCTTCACCTCAGCTCCCCACCAGTCTACAGTGTGACTGGGCCCCTTCTCTGTCCATGGTCCTATCACTGCTGGCACCCAGGGGAGGGGCTGGACTGCTGGACACAGGGCTGGCCCAGGACCCTCTCCCTCCCAGTTCTTGATGCCAGGAGTTGGCTCAAAAGCCACCTCCACAGACAGAAGTCCCTGCAGAGCTCCCTACAACCTTTGTCTCTGTCCACAGCCACCCCTTCACTTAGGCCTCTCCAAGACCCCTCCCGATAGGAACCATACCCACCTGATCGTAGCTGCCTCCCTGCCCACATCAGGGCTGAGCCAGCAGGCAGTGAATCCTGCTGTGTGACTTCCAGGGAAGCCACGGAGTGGGGTCCTCTCTGGCTCTTCGGCGGCCTCTGAGCCACAATAGCTAGATCCAGTTCCGCTCCTGGGCCAGCCCAGCCACAGCTGCCCGAGTCAGGGCCTCAGCTGAGGCACAGCTGAACCCACTTCTTGTCTCAGTTTCCCTCTCTAAAACAATCCACTGTCAGCCCCACAAGGTCACTGTGGGACAGAATAGACATATGAGGCTTGGAGGAGGCCAGTGGCTCAGGCTGGGTCACAGACCATCAGCTCCTGTACCTTCATGGAGCCAGGAACCCAAGCCCCTGATGCTCTCAACTCATACCCCAGAGAGCAAAGAGTGGGGCTGGGCTGCATCTCCCTTCTGGGCCTTGGGCCAAGGTAAGCGGAGGGGGCTGGAACAGCTTGGCTCAGTCCTTGTCTGGGTCCTTATGGGTTACAGCCCCACCCACTGTCACTAGCACCTCCAACAAGCAGAGATCATTTGGAGACCCTGGCCTGCCTATATCCCTCAAACCCTTCAGGCCCAGTACCATAGGAGCAGGCCAGAAGTCCTCTCCTGACAGACACTGGGTACTAACTGGGGTTCAAGCATTATCAGGAAGTCTCAAGGATCATAGAGGCATGTGGAGGCCAGTCTGGCTCCCTGGTGCACAGCCTGACTCCCTGGTGCACAGCCTAATCCCTGGTGCACAGTCTGGCTCCCTGGTGCACAGTCTGCTCCCTGGTGCACAGTCTGGCTCCCTGGTGCACAGCCTGGCTCCCTGGTGCACAGTCTGCTCCCTGGTGCACAGCCTGGTTCCCTGGTGCACAGCCTGGCTCCCTGGTGCACAGTCTGCTCCCTGGTGCACAGTCTGGCTTCCTCGTGCACAGTCTGCTCCCTGGTGCACAGTCTGGCTCCCTGGTGCACAGCCTGGCTCCCTGGTGCACAGTCTGCTCCCTGGTGCACAGTCTGGCTCCCTGGTGCACAGCCTGGCTCCCTCGTGCACAGTCTGCTCCCTGGTGCACAGTCTGGCTCCCTGATGAACAGCCTGGCTCCCTGATGAACAGCCTGGCTCCCTGGTGCACAGCCTGGCTCCCTGGTGCACAGTCTGTTCCCTGGTGCACAGTCTGCTCCCAGGTGCACAGTCTGTTCCCTGGTGCACAGTCTGCTCCCTGGTGCACAGCCTGGCTCCCTGGTGCACAGTGTGCTCCCTGGTGCACAGTCTGCTCCCTGGTGCACAGTCTGTTCCCTGGTGCACAGCCTGGCTCCCTGGATGCACAGCCTAAGTCCCTGGTGCACAGCCTGGTTCCCTGGTGCACAGCCTGACTCCCTGGTGCACAGCCTGGCTCCCTGGTGCACAGCCTGACTCCCTGGTGCACAGCCTGGCTCCCTGGTGCACAGCCTGGCTTCCTGATGAACAACCTGGCTCCCTGGGTGCACAGCCTGGCTTCCTGGAGAACAGCCTGGGTCCCTCGTGCACAGCCTGGCTCCCTAGTGCACATAAAGGTATATTTTACAAAGCATGTATACCCAGTTTCCCTCATAGAATCCTAGATGAGCAAGCAGGAACAAAGAGTGGGTGTTATTATCCCACACACGGAAGCTAACCACAGCCGGAGGACAGCTCCAGGGATTGTGTCCACCAGCTCACCTGAGTTGCTTCAGACAACACCCAAGAAACGTCTTTGTTGGCACTAAAATATGTGTCCGGGAGGGGGAGATCCCTCTAACCTCAGGACCTAGGGCACTGGATACTACATTTTACAGGTTCACCTCTGGCCTGACGCTGGGTGTGCATCTTCACAAGTGTATCTACTGATCCCTTCATAAACTGCTGAGTGGTCACGGAAGTTGGCATCCCAGGTAGGAGCTCATGTGCAGTCTCCATGACTATCACAAGCTGCAGTCTGACCCCCCGGGGGAGGCTGTCCCCTGCTGCATCCCCAAAGTGCCAATCACCCACCTGCAGTTTCTAGAGGGTGCGGGGAGGCCCCAGCCCCAGCCCCGTTCCTGCCGGCTCAGCAGGCAGGGAGCCCTGTTGGCCCTGTTTAGCCCCCGCACCCACCCCCCAGCCAAGTGGGAAGAGCAGGAGAGTGTGAGGATTGCTGAGCAAAGAGGGAGAGAGGAACAGAAGGAAAGGTGAGAATGACAGAAGACAGATGGCAGGGCAAACAGTATATTCAGGATATAAGGTAGAAAATTAGCCCTTGTAGGTCAGCTTTGAGACACTGGACAACTTCTGAGCAGTCCCTGCTGGCCAGCAAGGTGGAAACAGGAATCAGAGAGAAGATAACTCAGCCTGGATGCCAAACCCTGCAGCTTCCTGACCATGGAGTCTTTTGAAGAAGCTGATCACAGGACTGGGGTGTGCTCTGCTCAGTGCTGGGGTCCTCTGAGCCCCGGAGCAGGTCTGGCCAGTGACAGGGTGAATCTCCAAAGCCTCTGAAAGGGTCACCCTGCTGTGGTGCCAGATAGTAGCATAGGGCTTCTGTGTTATGCTGGTGAATATGATACAGTAATTGACTCAGACACTGTTGTTACTTTGGAGTTGTTTCAGAAATGTGTGCGCTTGTGCACAATGCAAAAAGTCACATGATGTTACCCAGCCTCCATCCCATGCCCACAAGCGCCTCCTGCCCCCTGGGAAGCCGGCCCCTCAGCCACACCATACCCACTCCTGTCTACCAGCTGCAGCCTTCTATCCCCCTCTTCCAGCCTGGAGGAAAAGTCACAGGATGAGGAGTGCGCCTGTAATCGAGCAGAGCCGCTGAACAATACCTAGGGGTTCCGCAAGGAGCCATGCTGCTGGGGAATGTCCAGGGCTCCCCCTCCAGACTTTCACCCTGACTAACAAAACCTTTTAGAAATTGTGATATAATTCATATGTCATCAGAATAAGTAATCCAGTGGTGTTAGTGCAGTCACAAGGTTGCACAAGCATCACCACTAAATCCAAAGCCTTTTCACTGCCCCAAAGGAAACTCCCTACTCGTTAACATGTCCCCATCTCCCCCCCCCACCCCCTGCAACTACCATAAACCTACTTTCTGCCTCTGTGTAATTGCCAGTTCCGGATATTTCGTGTACATGGAGCACATAACATGCTGTCCTCTGTGTTTGGCTTCTTTCAGTGTGTGTTTCCAAGGCTCATCATGTTCAGCAAAGGGTCAGAGATTCGTTCCTTTTTCTAGCTGAGTAGGATCCCACTGAATGCTCACAAGGGTGATCAGAAAATACAGTGAATTATTATTATCTTTAAATCTTATTACAATAAAAGACACATTACCAAGAACAATGGGATGTGTGTTTGAGACAAGGGGGAATATTTTGAGAGGATTGATGCTGTAATAAACTTTACCATAATAAACTTTAATTTAAATATTCATCCTAGCTTGGCATGGTGGTGCACGCCTGTAATCTCAGCACTCGGGAGGCTGAGGCAGAAGGATCACTGTGAGTTTGAGACCAGCCTGGGCTACAAAGTGAGCTCAAGGCCAGCCTGAACTGCATAGTGAGACCCTGTCTCAAAAAGACAAAAACAATCATCATAATAAAAAATAAATAAATAATATTCGTCCTGTTTTTGATCACCTCCTCTTTGATTAGCCATTTATGGCAATTTCTATCCAATAGAAACATGACAGTGTGTCCTTGTCCCCTTATTCACTGCATCTGCCACAGTGCAAATCCTGGCTTCTCCCCAGAGTCACAAGGACCATGAAAGGAACACGTTTTGGCTTGATTCAGGCCATCGAGGCAGGAGTGATTGCAAAGCTAAAGACACCTACGATAGAGGACTTCCAGAAGTGCGTCAGGTAGTGGTCAGAACGATGTGTTTGAATTTAGGGGAAGGGTTCTGAGGGAGGCTCATGGCGGCATGTCTTCTGCTGTAATACATTTTAAAATTTAAACATTCGCCATATGTTTTGATCATACCTCGTACACCACATTCTGCTGTCTTCTCACCAGCTGATGGAGCTGTTCCTATTTTGGAGAGGGTTATGAACCATGCAGCTGTAAACACGCATGCGCACGTTTTTACGTGCCTAAGTGGAACGCCTGGACCAAAAGATAATTCTGCGCTGGACCGTTTGAGGAGCCACCGACTGCCTTCGTCACAGCCGCACCGTTTTACGTCCTTACCGCAATGTGCGGGTTCAGGCTGGCGCACGTTCCCCACAGAGCGTGCCGCTTCTCTCTTTCCCTTTCTTTTTTATTTCTATTCCAGCCACCCTGGAGGGCGCCGCTTGGAACTGCGTTGTCTGGGACTCATAACGTCAAACATCTCTGCTGCGTGCTTCTGTCCACTTGCGCACTTCTTTAGAGAAATGCCTGTTCGGTCCTTGGCTTTTGAATTGGGTGTCAGCCTCTCTGGTGTTCAGCTTCAAAGGCTCCTTCTAAGTTCTAGAGACTCATCCCTTATCAGATACGTGGCTTGCAAATATTTTCTCTCATTCTGCACGTTGACTTTTCAAAAGTTTCCCATCTTGGCGAGGTCCCCTTGGTAGCTAAGCGGTAAGATGCTTTTTTCCCTTGGCGCCTGTGGCCAACAAACACGTGGATTAAGTCGGCCCCCTGTGAGCCCCGAGTCCTCAGCCCTCCTGCCACCTCCTGCACTTGGTGGCGGCTTCCCTCCGGCTTCGGCGTCCGGGGCGCCGCGACCCCTGCTGGCTGCAGCCGGCATTGCAGACCCGCGCCGGCGCCTGGTCCACAGGCTGAGCGGTTTATCCAGGCGGCCTGCTGCGAAGGTGACCCTTGAAGGGCCAGCTCTGCACGCTGAGCCTTCTGACCCCGCCCCCCGACACACACTGGGAAGTTAAAATTCTTGTCGCATTAGGAAACAGAGGCTGAGAGAAGTGAAATAATGCCCAAGGCTCCAGAGTTACTAAATGGAAACAAGTGATTCATTCATTCACTTATTCCCTCAACAAACGTTTGTGAAGACTTACCCCAAACTGACCCCAGCCGAGTCGAAAGGAGCAGAGATGCTGCCCTGGTGAGTGGCTCCTGGCATCCACTTTGAAGGAGCTGTGGTGGCCCTGAGTGCCGTGGGGACAGGACCAGGATGCAGAGGTTTTCCCACATCCCAACTGGATTTCATACTTCTCAAGTAGGCTACAAGAAAAACATGCAAATAAGATTTAAAATATATTGTTAGAACTTAGTGGAAATAGGTCTGTGTAGCACACAGACCACTAACTTCTTCACTAGTCACTCTGCTTCCTCAGCCACGAAAATGCTGCACTTTAACTGAGAACACAGCTTTCTGGAAGATGCACTAGAAAGTGCATCTTCCATCCCTCACTGTCACTAAGTACAGCCTTCTGGTGAAGTTCTGGCCATGAGAGATGAATAGAAGTATCCAGAAAGTTCTAAGACATCGATGTCTTAGGGTGGGAATGAACCTTTCTTCCTCCTTCCTTTTTGTTGGCTGGGATATAAGCTTGATGGCTGGAACAAAAGCAATTTTCTTGGACCATGAGGCGGAGGCTATGTGAATGGGAGAGCAGGAGGAGACAAGAAACTGTGCTTCTAAGAATTCGGAGCTGCTACCCCAGCCTGTGCTGCAGGCCCCCAGGGCGTGATTTCTGTGACAAGAGAGACACGTTGGTCTTGTCATCCACAATCACAGCTTGCCCCTGAGTGACTCATCCCAGGTTTCCCAGTGAGCATCCGACCTGGCCACACAGCTCTGACCGGGGTTGGAGAGAGAGAAACCAACCCCGGCCTGAAAGTCCTGGGAGACACTGAGAAAAGAATACAAAATTGGGCTCAGCCCAGGCCCACTGGGGCCGCTGGTCATTGGCCTTCAAAGGCCCTGCTGCCAGTGGTTCCCACATTAAATGCCCCAGCTGGCAGAGGGCCTGACAGCTAATATGTGTTGGGACTGTAACCCCAGCACCCTTGGGAGGCTGAGGCAGGAGGGTCTAAAGTTTAAAGCCAGTTTAGGGCAACTCACCCGCTTAGTGAGACCCGTCTCCAAATTATAGAGGACTAGGAGTATAGCTTAGCGGTCAAATGCTTGCTGAGCATGTGTGAGGCCCCAGGTTCCATCTCCAGCACTGGGGAGAAAAAACAAAACCAGACATGTGCTGGGCTGCGTGCCCTTCCCCCTGCGACTCTGCCAGCTGAATTCGATTTTCCTCTGGTTGGCGTTTGTGCAAGGCTTCATTTCCTGGCCATCTGCTGTTTGGGTGGCAGGGAAGCCCTCCGGGTGCCAGGGAAGGAGCGGCAGCCCGGATTGGAAAGGGCCCCTGATGCCGGGGGCTGAGAGCCGGCCACATGGGGGCTGCAGGGTGCCCAGCAGGTGCCCGGCTGCAGCCCTGTCTGTGCTCAGGACCTGTCCTCCAAGTGCCTGTGCTCCCCCACCATATCTCCCGTCCGGGTCCCCCCTGCGCCTCAGAGGGCCGGGGGCACTGTGGCCTTGCAGTGGAGGCGGTGTCTGCCCACCCACGCAGCCGTGTGCTGTTCCCCCCGAGCCAGGCCAGGGCAGCAGCCCTCCCGCCTGCAGCGGACTCCCAGATAAACAAGGCATCCGTTCCTAGTCCCCAGTGTGACCCCAGCCTTCAGAAGGAAGGAGAGCTGGACATGGTGGGGCACGCCTGTGAGCCCAGCACTCAGGAGGCTGAGGCAGGAGGATTGTTGCCAGTTCAAGGCCAGCCTGGGCTACAGAGTGAGTTCAAGGCCTGGAGTGCATAGCAAGACCTTGTCTCAAAAAACAAAAAAGAAAGTCTTTTGTGTGTGTGCTGGAGATTGAACCGAAAGCCTGGCTCATGCTAAGCAAGTGCTCTATGACAGAGCTACATGCCCTTGGGGCTGGGGATTTAGCTCAGCGGCAAAAGCACCTGCCTGGTAAGCGCAAGGTCGTGACTTCGGTTCCCGGTGCCGGAGAAAAAAAAAAAGAAAAAAAGAAAAAAAAAATCCCCCCAGAGCTACATGCCCAACCACTTCAAAGCTTGTCTATTTATTTATTTATTTATGTGGTACTAGGGATTAAGCCCAGTCCCATCATACTTAGCTATATCCCAAGCCCTTAAACTCTGAGAGGCAGAAATAGACAGAGACAGACAGAGAGAGGGAGAGAGAGAAAGAGACACTGAATCACTAAGTCACTAAATTGCTTGAACTTGCAATCTTCCCGCCTCAGCCACCTGGAGTGCTGGGATGATTGACGTGCACCACCCTGCCTGGCTCTGATACCTGCTGCCTCGGGGGACAAAGCAGAAGGCAAGGCACCCAGGGAGACAGGCCGGTTGCATGATGAGGACTGCATCTCCAAGGCCGCCAAGCAGGCGGATTCCTGGAAACAGAAAGTGGGATGGTGGCTGCCGGCTAGGGAGGAGGGGCGGGGAGGAGCCCGTGGTAAAAAGAGACAGAAGATAAAAATTTTGCGGAGATAAAAAGCTCTCGGGATGTGGTTGACAATCTGATCTGAACACCCCCGAGCTCTCGTTTTTAATCGGTTAAGATGGTGAAACGAAAAGATCAAGCTTCACGCAGCGTAGGCAGAACCGCGGACGGGACCGTGACGGCGACAGTCAGTGTGTGGGGCGGGGGTGAGAGAGGGGAACGAAGACTCGGGCACCCTGGGAAGGCCAGGGACGGCAGCTGTGGTCCCCTCCACGCTGCCCCGGCGACAGTGGCGCCCGGCGCCCTCTCCTGGAAAAGGCTGGCGTTGCACTCAAGAGAAATAACCATAAAATACAGCGCCCGGTCTTCACACAATCTTAAACTTCTGCTTATGGGAACACACCATTAAAAAAACAGCAGAAGCAGGGCGTGGTGGCCTTTCAATCCCAGCCCCTCCAGAGGCAGAGGCAGGAAGGTCCCTTGAGCCTAAGACCTCAAGTCCAGCATGGGCAACACAGCAAGACCCACCTCCAAAAAAAGAGAATAGAATAGACAGCACAAAGAGCTGGGGAAAATTACGGCACTTATAGAAGAAAAAGACATGTACCTGTAATGTATAATGATCTCCCAAAAATCATGTCAAGGAAGAAATGAAAAAATGATAAACCTAAGTTTAACAATGAGCCGGACTTCAGCAGACACTTCACAAAAGAAGATATAAGAATAGCTGACCAACCTGAAATGTGCTCAGTACTATTAGAAATCAGCCAATTCATATTTCAGCGTCTTACTATTCCAAACCCATTTTAATGGGTGACATTTAAAAAGATGGATTTTGCCTTGAGGAGAAAGGAGTGGGGTGATAGGGCTTGTGAGCTCTTTCCTGTTTTCCCCAGCTGCACCACAGGTATGACAGCTGGAGCTGGGGCAACCATGTTGTGATCACGAGGTAGCAGCAATTGTGAGGAGAAGCCAAGAGCATCCTAGGGAGACAGGAGCTGCTGCTCAAGCAGCTCATACCTGGTCTCATCTCATGACTGGGGTGGGGTCCCTAGTTCTACCACACGAAGCCTTTGGGTGTGTCTGGCACATAAACCCCTCTGGAAGCCACTCCTGAGGTTGGGCTCTGAGGCTGTGGTGAGTGTAGCAAGCTCTCCAGCCACCAAGGTTGGGCAGGACCCGGGGGTAGGGTGGGAAGGACAGGCACTTGGTGGCAGGAGCTGGGACACTGTCTCTAAACATTCTCTCTGCATTGCTGGCTTCTGCTCCTGTCCCCATGTGGGGAAGGTGAGCGTGTCGTCCAGCTCCACGGCGCCCACCTGCAGGAGAACAGGTGCCCCCCTCCTTTCTAGCAGAACTGGTGCTGAGCCGAGCCGCGTGGAGACAAGGCCGAGGGTGGAGGGTGGAGTCCATGGGCTGCTGGGAAACAAGCCCATTGACTTCTGTCTAACCTGGCTATACTCCTCTAACAGCCTAGAATCTTTAGATGCCAAGGGCCAAAAAGTAGACCTCTCAGGAGGCCTAGTGATGGTGACCGCTCCCTGTCCTTCACCACAGCCGGGGACGGCAGGACCCAGGCAGCAAGGGTGCCTGTCCCCAAGGCCTCATCAGCAGGCTGATGCCCCAGCCCTGGGGTATATCCCCCACTTCTGCCTCTGAGCCCAGGTTGTGACTGCTGGCCTTTGGTGACCGTGTGTCCTGGGCCAAAGTGGGACCTGGCCCTCCGAAGTGGGGAGCTGGACACCCACACTGAGTGGGCACTAGGATTGAGGGGAAAGGTGGGTCCCAGCCAGGGATACCGGTCGGTCACAGGACCATTAGCAAGGCTAGTGGCTGCCAGGCAACCAAGGAAATGAATGCTGGTACAACAGTACACTGTTATAGCCATGGGCCACCATGACCAACTAGAAATTCCTTCCTTTTCTAAAAGAAAAATTAAACTTAAAAAAAATTTTTATTGAAACAGCTGCAAGTACTTTAACCAGTTATTATAAACAAATTAATGGAGCCAGGCATGGAGGCACATGCCTGTAATCCCAGCACTCTGGAGGCTGAGGCAGGAGGATTGTTGGGAGTTCAAGAGCAGCCTGGGCTACAAAGTGAGCTCAAGGCCAGCCTGAACTGCATAGCAAGACCCTGTCTCAAAAAAAAGACAAAAAAAAAATTAATGGGCAGATGAATACATATATAGAACATGTAAAATGGTTATATTCAACCAGAGTATACTCTTAGATGCTTAGGCCATGCTAAATTATAATAATCATTTTCTCAATTTTAGGTTTATAACTGTAAATGCACTAGTCAGTTAGAATTTTCCCTAGAGGTTATCAGTTTGCACTCCTTTCTCTTATATAAGCCAGTAATCGCCTTGAATACTTTAAGTTACTCTGAATACCTTTCTTCCTGTCAGTTAACATTATAAACTATAACAGAAGGTGTAAAGAGAGAAGATCTGTAGATTGCTAAATGGGACCTTTGTACATTTTTCCTCCATATTAAAAAGCCAAGTTTGGGGTTTTGTCTCTTTACTCTTTAACTTACATTTAGAGGAATATAGAGGGGAAAAAAATCACCCTTTTATAACCTTCCACTTTAAAGTGGTCCCAAGTCCATAAGCTATAAACTAAAGGTGAAGTTTTTTGGGGACAGACATTGGGTTATTCATAATCGTTTAAAATGTACAATACGTCTTTAAGATCTTCCTCATGGCTGGGCATGGTGGTGCACGCCTGTAATCCCAGCACTTGGGAGGCTGAGGCAGAAGGATGGAGGATCGCCATGAGTTCAAGACCAGCCTGGGCTACATAAGGGAGTTCAAGGCCTGCCTGAACTACATAATCAGACCTTGTCTCAAAGAAAAGATCTTCCTCATGTACTTTTGCAAAGAGATACAGAGCGGAAACAAAAAAAGAGAAAAGACAGAATCCTAAGGTCAGGTCTCCCAAATGGAAGGCCATTCTGTTTCTCAGGGTCAGAACTCTCACTTGATATATATATAATGAGTTCGTTTTCCAGTCTGTTTTTGAACATTCACTTTTCAGTCTCACGGGAAATGTTGTTCAGCATCAAGATGTGGCTGGACCCCTGGACAGTGTTAGCATCAACCGTACTCAGCAAGACAGAAGGGGCTGCAGTTAATTTGCAGCACACAGCTGGGAAAAATAGAAACTCAGACTCACAACAGTAGCAAACGCATTGCTAGGCCAAGGTTAAAGTTAACAGCCCACGCAGACTTCTCAGCCGAGAGGACACACAGAAAAGAATGACTGTATGGCGACCACAGCCCTGGCAGAAAAGTCTCTGTACAATAATGCAGTGTATTCAACCACGCCATTAATGCTGGCTGCTGCATCAGTTGCTGCTCCTTCAAAAGGAGGCGGATCTCTAGGTCTGCTCGATGTTTCTTTTCTTTTCTTTTTTTCCTGACGGAGAATCGCGGGGGCTGTGCGGCTAATACAACAGCTGTTCTACTTCCTTTCCTTTTCAGCAATGAGTAAATTTACATCCCTCTACCACCTTCTATTCGCGGGGAAGTTTAGATCTGAGCTGGCATTGAGACCCTCCAGATGAGTAATGTTTGCATTCCTTCCATTCTCCCAAATGGAATGGCACATTCTTCCAAGAATGGGTAGCGTCCACTTCCTATTGAAGAAGTGTCTTTTCTAGCGGGCCAGGGATGTAACTCAGCGGCACAGCGCCTTGCTTGGCGAATGCAAGGTCTTGAGTTTGATTTCCAGTACAAAAAAAAAGTAAAGAATCACAGAACAAAGCCGGGCATGGTGACGCACGCCTGTAATCCCAGCACTCGGGAGGCTGAGGCAGGAGAATCGTTGTGAGTTCAAGGCCAGCCTGGGCTACAAAGTGAGCTCAAGGCCAGTCTAAAATGCATAGCGCAACACTGTCTCAAAATGACCAAAAAAAGAATTACAGAATAAACAAAATAAGCAAACACTTAGCCAACCTTGTCTCAAAAAAGAAAGAAAACAGTGATTTTTCTGATGGACGTACATCAGTATCACCTCCTTTAACTTTCCTTTTGCCATAGGCAGGGTCCTCCCCTTGCTTGGGGGCCAGTGAAGCATGGCAGCGGCGGCAGTGCTTTGGTTACCAGGGTGAGGCCCTGGCTTCTTCCCCAGCAAGGGTCTCCAGCTGCCTCATGGACCTCCTGGGTCCCCTACTGGGCCCTCCTGAGGCGCATGCACCCCTGATGCACCTGCGCAATCGGAGGCGCCGGGCCCTGCGATTAATCAGACGTGCCCCCTAGAAATTAATTCTTAAAACAATGAAAGATGTGTGCAAACACGTAGCCACTGGGAGAGGGTGGCCATCATGCCACTGTTTTTAGAACATAAAACAAAGCTAAGGGCTGAGGTGCTGCTCAGTGGAAGAACGCTTGCCCAATATGCTCAAGGCCCTGCCCTGCAAGAAATAAACACTAAAATAACAATACATGCATGGCCATTAGGTTGAGTAAACCATGATGTGAGTACAGGATACAATTGCATGTAGACACATGTCACAGAGGAATTTTTGTGGCGTGGTAGTCATAAGATATTTGAAAAATAGCAGAAGTAGAACAATCAGTACAGAAGGAATCTGTAATGGAGGATGACTGAAACCGGGCTGAAAACTCCAAGAGAAACTAAGACAGCATCCTGTCCCTGGATGCTGGAGCAGCGCCCGGACTCCCCACTCACCAGGTCTCCCCCCCACTGCCCCTGCTGTTCCTTCCCTCCCCAGCAGTACCAGACAAAGGGATCTTCTGACCCAGAGACCACTGACAGGAGACTGGCCACACATGGCAAGCACGTGCTCCGCTACAGGCAAAGATTTGCGGGGAGGGGGAAAATTGGGGCTCTGGATGAAGGGAGCCAGCAACTGCTCTGGCAGAACTGAGAGCCCCGTGTTTTCACAGAATTGCTGGGTGGGTTCCCACTGGCCACGGGCACGGTTCCCAAAGATGCTTTCTTCCTGTGACAGACCCAGACCAGCAGAGGGCCGTGGTCAATCTGTCCCACAGGATGTGTAGCTGGTACTTCGCTCTGTACCAAGCACCCTGGCCTTGTCCTTGTGGGCCAGCTGGTGGCCAACTTCACTCAACTGGAGGCTGACTGCAGAGTTCCTCTTCAAGCTGGTCGTGTTGCCCAGCACAGCTGGACTGACCTTAGGACAGGGCAGAGGGACTTTCAGTTCATGAGCTGCTGACAAAGCACCAGGATAGGGTGGGGGAAACTCATGCCAGCTCCAATGGGCAGGGAGCCAGGCCAGCCCTGCACGGAGCCTTGGACAAAATGTTTCTTAAATCATCAACATGTCTACACGCAGAGCTGAGAAGAATCTGACCCAAGGGTTGAGAGCAAACCGACACAAGATGTCAAGAGTGCAAAGAAAGACAAAAGAAGAGATGACGAGCCCTTTACCTCATCTTCGTCTGTGGGCTCAAGGGAAGAGTCTGGTTTTTAGCAAGAGGGCCTTCGGGTTGCTGCAAAGTAGCCCATTACCACACCAGCTAGAGGCACTGTCTACAGCAAAGCCAGTGGAAACTAATAAGCGACTGCCCAGCTGTGTGACCTCCAAAAGCAGTGACTTCAAGATGACTACGAGCAGGTGCAGCTGGAGAGCTTTTTAGAGTTTGCTGCTGTTTGGTAACACTTTCTCATTCATGCGCACGTTCTGTTTGTGCTATTTTATCGGAGACTCGTGGCAGGTCTGCCCATACATGCCCTGCTGCAGTGTCGGAGTTTCCTGCACCCAGGGGCTTGTTTCATCATCCCAGCCTTTTGTCCCACCCGTCCCACCATGTTGGTCCCTTGCTGCCCCTATAAAGCCCTTTTGCAAACCTGGGTCCCTCAGGGTGGTCTTTGTTGGCAGGCGCCCCATCTTTGCTTTGCCAGCTTTCCAGAGAAACATTCTCTCTTGCGTGGGTGACTGGTCCTCAGGTCATCAGCCTTTCCACGTCGGGGGCTGGTGAGACGTCTGTGAGCAGAGGCACAGGCTGGCTGGGAAAGGCTCTGCTTCCGGGGTGTTTGGTTGCGAGGCAGTGTCCCCACCTGTCCCCTCCCACTTTGGGGGAGGACACTTTCCCACCATGCTCCTCTCGCTTTACCAGTGGTAGATGACAGGCTCACCAGTTCGTGTGACTGAACCGGAAGTTGTAATGTTTTTGTTCACAGAGGCCCTCAGCAAGCAAATCCTACAGGCAGCAGGTCCAGTGGGCAAAGCCCATTGGGGGCCCATAGAATTGATCCAGCAGACAAAAAAGTGCTTGCCCACACACGAAAAGACACAGCCCCCTCTAAAAATCCTCGCCGGCCAGTCAGTGAGTCAAGGACAAAAAGCCAGAACACATTTTGTCTTTTGCTTTAGGGAAGGACTCAAAAAGACACAAATCACACCAGTAAACAGTTATTTTTACAAAACCAGCCGACCCGTATAAATATAAAGTACACCTCAAACTGGCTGGGCATGTGAGTGGGATGCCCCCCATTTTGCAGCTCCCTTTCTCTGGGAAAGGCTCTGCTTCCGGGTGTTTGGCTACGAGGCAGCGTCCCCACATGTCCCCTCCCACTTGGGGACGGTGGCCTGGCTGTCCAGCTTGGAGAAGACAGCTCTAAGATAACTCTCCTCCTGCTCTCTCTGCGTTTGCCACATTTTAAATAAACTTTCGCTTTCCACCGTATCAGTCCTGAGTCCCCCATTGTCCACTAAGAGCCCCACTTCTTCAGTCTTTGCCAGAGTGAGGGCAAGGACTCTCAGAAAGGTCGCAGAGTGTCATTACAGGGGACCCCAGCCCCCCCAAGACCCCCAGCCAGACGCAACAGGGCCTCGCCCACCAAGACAAGCCGGACGCCAGCCCGCCCACAGAAGCCAGCGCCAGACATAAACACACCCCCGGGCACCTCTGCAGCCACGGTTATTGTCAGTGATGATACGTATCAAAGGACAGACAGTTGCCATTTCAGGGCAGTGGAATCATTTTCCTTTTTTCCGCTCACCTTCATTTTCTAAATTGTCTACAATGACCACCCTTTATAAGGAAAGGTTATATAAGCATATGTACATTTAAGGCAAGCTGCAAGGAAGTTTTAAAAGAAAACCTTGCCCCGTCTCTCTGTTCGGATCCTCGCCAGACATATGGTCGCCTTGTGACAATCACAGGAGACACACTTGCAGCTCCCGTCTCCCTTCTATTGTCACACTGTCCACCCTCTGCTCACACCAGTCCTTCACTAGCACTCACAGTGCCTGTCAGAACATCCTGCCGAGTACATACAACATAGCACGTTCCCTGCCCCCCCCCACCCTTGGAAACGTAAATTATCCCTGAGTTTTGTTGTATGGTCAATGTGTACATTGTACCTTTCCCTCTGCGAACTCTTCCCCAAACACACAGTCACAGGCTTCAGACCATATGGGAGGAAAAGCATATTTTAATCACGACTATGTATTTGAAAATTTGCCTTCTAGAAGGAGCCAACAAAGTACCTTTTCACCTGCTATGTTTATCCACTTCTAAATGTCTGTCCTGGTAAGGAGCTCTTCAGAGTCACATTCAACAAATTCTGCTTACGTCTCACTGCTACCTCTTGCTACAAAGTCAGCTGGATACAATGTGCCTCAAAATAAAATCAGGGACATGACAGTGGCTGATCTGCAATATCTGCCTCAGGTTGCAGCTTCCTTTTGTTCTCTATGCCTACTTCTTGCTGTGATGGTTGGATTTTCAGTGGCCGTTTTGGGCCTGAGGGTACTTTGAAGTTGGATTCTATGCAAAGCAGAGAAAAAAAATTCCCTAGTAAGATTATGGAGGTGCCAAACCAGGCTTAGATTGCCTATGTCCACCTTTCTTTCATGTTCAGGAAAAAGAGATTTTGTTTACCTAAACCTTTTAATTTTCAATCTCTATATCACTAACAACTGAGCTACTTCTTAACTTCCCTAAAACATTATCCACATTGGTTTTAGCACACTGAAATTGTAAAAAAGATTTACAGTTGTGATAGAGTTTGGACATGGCTTGAGCATGTGCCCCAGTGCTTCCTGGGTTGACTTTTAATCTCTGCTGTGAGACAGTAGGAGGGTGGGAAGTTAACGTGGCCATGGGGCTGAGGTGGGACCTTCAGGAGGTGATTTGGCTTGAAGTTGTTAGGGTGAAGCCCTTGCAGTTGACTCTTGTGGTTCCGTCTGAAGAGGGAAGAGGGAGAGACCAGAAGGGACACAAGTATACACACAAATGCTCCCCGTCCATCTCCATACAGTGCCCAGGGCCACCTCTGCCAGAAGGAAGGTCATCACCACATGTGACTGCCTGACCTTGGACCAGAACTGTGAGCCAAATAAATTCTTCCAAACTTACCCAGGCTGTGCCATTGTTATTCGCAGCAGAAAGCGCACCAGTAAGGAGGAGTCATTCCTCCTCCCTCTGCATGTTTTGAGGGACATCACAGGCAGGAGAAATAACACAAGCATAGCTGCCTGTGGCCGGAAGGGCTGGTGTTTGCAGGGCACGTGACCCGCTCCTGGAGTGCAAGGCCTTTTGCTTTCAGCTTCCTGAGACGAGGGTCGGGAAGTCCTACTCTGGAGGCCCCTGGAGGTCAAGCGGCACTCACATCAGGGGAAGCTGCTGAGACAGGTGTCCCAGGGAGACCTAACCAATATTTGCATTCTCCCCCACTCCTCTCTCCACTCTCTCGTTTTCTCCTTTCCTCCACCCTCCTCCTGGTTCCCTGCCTTTCTCTCTCCCCATGTTTTAACAGCAGGAGGAGCTATCAGAAAGCCCCCTGCCCAGATGGGGTGAGCACTCCCTAGGGACAGTGGCCTGGCGGTCCAGCTTGGAGAAGGAGCGGAAAGCTGACACCCTCCAGCGCCAGCCAGCCCAGCCCTGCTGGCGCTGCGTGCAGGGCTATTCCTGTCTTCTCTGAGTTCTGATGGAGACATGCCATCTCCGTCCTATAAATGCCCCTTTGTACTGACAGGGCTCTGTCAGCTCGTGAGCTGCCCTCCAGCCTACCAACTGCATGCGGCCCTGGGCACTGCCCAGCAACTGGCTTGTGGGGCCGTGGCCCCTGCCAGCCAAGATGCCATCTGAGCCAGGGACAGGAAACGTGGCATTTCGGGCTCCGCTCGGCACAGACAGCATTCGTGGGCTGGAAGAGCAGTGGCCCTCAGGGAAGCGGATGGCTCACACTCAGGGCCTTATGTGCACAGCTCTGTGTTTGGAATCCTCTGGTGCCTGGATGGTGCCCAGCCAGGAGAGCACACCTGGCCTCCTCCTGGGCCGCTCCTCCCAGGCCTCCGAAGGCCCTCTGCAGATCAGGACACCTTGACTGCCCAGTCCTTCCTGTCAGCCCTAGCGAAAGGGAAAGAAAACAAGCAGAAGTCAGATGACCCCCAGGAGGGAAACTCCGGAGGGGAAGACCAGACGGCCTATGCGTGCAGAGCACAAAGGGCACAGGCCCATCGTCAGAGTGTCTGACTCCAGCCAGGGGCGGAAGGCAGAAGGCACGGTGGGTGTTCAGCCGCCTACACCCTCTGGAGTTTCCTTCTCTGCGCAGGAGGTCAAGGTCACCCGGGGCCATTGCTTCCCAGTCACTGTCCCCTGAATGACATCCACAGGCACTGCTTGCTTATTTGTTGGCCCTGAGATGTGAGCTGGTAAGGACATCACCGCCTGTCATACCTACCTGACCCAGCAGGGAGATGTACCGGTGGCCTGTGAGCCTCTTTAGGCCTCGTCCCTTCAAAGACTAATGTAAGATTGCTAAAAAACGGTGCCGTCTGGTATATGCATCTCTAACACGCCACACCAGGGACTCCTGCCTTCCTACGGGGGAGGGAGGGACACTTAGCCAAGGGTTTGTGTGAGGTGCTGGGTGTGGCCTCACCTGTGACTATGGGTCAAGTGCAGCCCCACCTGCCCACGTCCCTTGGTCCCTTCCCCTACTGAGGGCTGCTGAGGCTCCTAGAAGAGTCCCCGTGGCAGCCCCAGCAGCCCAGGACTGGGTGGAAATGCAGGGCTGGGCTCAGAGAGCAGCCCCAGGGGCTCTGATGCGTGTCCAGGTGTGGGAAGCCTGGGCCCAACTGGACGTAGGACAGAAAAGAAAGCCAGCCCAGGCCAAGGACAACAGTTTTCTGCCATGCAGGGACAAAAGGTTGGTATGGGGCACAGGATGAGCACTGTCCAGGCTCTGCGGCGGGGAGCGGGCTGGAGGAGTCTTCGGCCTTGGCCTTCTTCCCAGCCTTACCCGGGCTCTGCGGGCCTCTGCAGAGGTCTGCTCAAGGAGCTGACCCGAGGTTGCCTCGGATCTGAGGTGGGCTGCCTTCTCCAGGGGAGACAAGAAAGGGCTGGGCATGACCTCCCTGCGGCCACAAGGTGGCTTCTAGCACCCAGCTGTGGTGGGCAGAGTGCCAGGCAGACTCAGGTGACCCGGGTTCAAGTCTCAGCTCTCAGAGGTGCAGTGGCCCCCTTGTTCTACCACTGAAACCACCTGCAGAAGTGAGATAACGCCCCAGCCTGGGCCTCTGAGCACATCGAAAGCAACAGCTCCTTCTGGACTCAGCCTCCCACTCTGGTGAGACAGCTGAGCTCTGGATGCCCCAAGAGCCTAGCACAGTCAGGAGAGTGCTCCCAGTGGGGTCCAGGGTGCAGCTCAGTGGAAGAGCACTGGCTTAGCAAGTGCAGGGCTCTGGGTTCCACTCCCAGCAACACATGGCCCCTGACAAATGAAAGTGCCAGATGGAGACAGTCCTGCATCAGTCCCCTTCACCTGCTGTGGGAGGGGCTCAGGGAGAAAGGGCAAGGCGGACCTAGTGAGGGGCACTGTGTGTGGGAGGGTGTCCTCGGGGCCCTGGGGACTCAGAGGGGAGGCTCTGGGCCTGGCAGAGGATGAGGAGGTGAGGACTGCCAGCAAGGGGTGGACCCACTGACACGTGACTCAGGTCATATAGTCCCCAGGGGCTGCACTGGGCACTCAGGCTGGCATCAAGATTAGCAGCAAGCGAGCGTTTAGACCCAGCTTCCTGAGCAGAGGAGGCCACCCCAGTGTGGCCTGGGCTATGGGAGAGCAGGAGGTACAGACTAGTGCCACTTGCCGGCAGATGGCCCTTCTCCAAGCCACAGAGCACCTGCGCCCGGCCACCGCCTCGCCCCACACTCGGGCCAAGTGGCTCTGTGGCTGAGTGTGTGGCCCATGTCAGGGCCAAGAATAAGGAGCCAGCCAGCCCCTGTCGTTAGTGGTTGGCTGAGTGTGGGCTGGGCCAAGGGGCAGCTGGCTGCCCTGCCTGGAGGATGGACAAAGAGGACATGACCCGGCCGTGCCCTGGGGAGACACTGGGCCATGGGCAGTGTCCCTAGCACCTGGCTCTGGGGTGGATTTTTCTTCCTTCCTGGGTGTTGATGACTGAGGTGTTGGTCTGGGGCAGCAGGGGGAGCAAGCAACACTCACACAAACACACAAACAAGGTGCTTTGGGGCACTGGCCCAGGGCAAGGGATGCAGGGGGTGGGAAGGAGCTGGCCATGTGGAGGCCTGGGGCAGGTGGAGGTAGAAAGGAATCAATGAAACAAAGAGAAAGGGCGTTCTCTTTGAGTCCACATGTGAGTGTGTGTGCTCGTGTGTGTGTGCGCTCGTGTGTGTGGGTGTGTGTGCGCGTGTATTTGTATGTGTGGGGAAGTGGGTCAGCCTGTGTGAGAGGGAAGGGCAGGCACAGGGGCTGAGGAGCAAGCATGGGTGAGGAGTGGGGGCTCCCAGGGGCCTTCAGGAGGGTTTAAGCTGGCCAGTCACAGTGTGGCCTAAGTTACTTTTACAAACTAGAATTGATATCAACGGTGAGTATCAGAAGAAAACAAAATTATAACGGCCTCAAAGTAAGAGCTTTCTTTTCTCACAATGAGAAGTCTGGAGCAGGCTCCCTCTGCCTTCAGCCCTGCTGTGCATGGCTTCTATGCCTCAGGGCTCCTCACAGTCCAATACAGCATTGGAGTTCCAGCCATTGCACCCAGTTTCCCCCTGGCAGGAAGGAGGAAGTAGTTAACATTCTATCTGTCCACCATCCTTTCCCTGATGTTGCGCACACCCCTTCTATCAGCACAAGGCGGCCATGAGGGTCCACCTAGCTGGAGGGGAGCCTGGGAGGTGCAGCTCTGAGTCTGGGAGTCCACTGTAGAGCTCAAAGTCAGGAGTGTAAGGCTGAGCAGGAAGCAGAGGACAGGCTGGAGCTGGGAACAGGGGCTGGCTTGACACAGATGTTCATAAATGCAAAGCAGCATCAGCCCCAGCCTGACCCTGCGAGCCCCAAGGGGACGACAGAAGTACACACAGACAGGGACAGACAACAGGACCAGCTTTCTGCTTCTCCCTGCCATCCCCAGTCCCCCCAGGTCCGTGGGCTGCTCTTGCTTGCTCTGAACGGCTGCACAGCATTCCAGACAGCGGCTGGCCGTGATTCAGCTGTCCCTCCCACATGGTGGGTGTCCATGCCTCTGGCGTCCAGTGGCCATCTAGAGCAGCCGCACCTGGCCGTGTGGCCTTGGGTACATCTCTTTTCTCTGGGGAATGGCACATCACCTCACATCACCTGGCCTGTCATCCTCCTTGACCCCATTGTGTCCCCTACTCCCATGGACCCTGCCTGGTGACCTTGGCAAGTCCCCTGGCCCTTGGAGCCTCCACCACTCTGCCTTTGGTGTGGGCAAGTTGGCCTGGATCCTCTTCACAGCCCCAGCTTTCCGTCATCACTCACCTGCATCCCTCACCTTCCTCTCCCGGCATGACCCGGTCAGAGCTGTGGTCCCTGAAAATACCTGCTGGAAATGCTGCCCGGGGTAGTAGGCTCTCAGGGTAAGCAGGGGCGGACGGGCCACACCCGGCGATGTCAGCACTGTGGCTGCCCCGGTGGAGGCATGTGCAGGCGGGCAGTTGCTGGCGGGCTGGGGCAGGAGCGTACATGCTGGGCTACCCCCAGCAGCTGTGCCCTCCAGGCCTCTCCAAGGCAGAGGAGCCCAGGCACAGCCGCTTAGCAGGACTCCTGTGCACTGCCTGCCTGTCGGCATCTCAAGCCTAAGGCTTTCACCCACATTCTCCCAGATGCCAGCGCTACCTCTGTGTCCTCCACAGTGCCAGGGTATCAGACCATCTGTGCTCAACCCTGCTGCGGGCAGCATGGGTGAGCAGGCCGCAGCTTTCAGTTTCCACCCAGGGCGATGTGCTCTGAGCCTACAAAGGCCTCTGCAGTACAGCACGTCCACCTGAAGGACCTGGTGGGGGAGACGCGGTCTCCCTCCTGAGGAAGGCCCAGATGGAACCAAAAACTCCGGGCCTGTTCCTGTGACAAGCCTGAGGCCCTGTCCTTTGGCCAGGAGGATGGAGCTGGCTGCTGGAGGCATCACTGTGACCAGGAAGCTGGGAGTGGGACCACCACAGTCTACATATGCCATCCTCAGAGCATTCCCATCTCACACACGCAAAGAGCTCAGAAGGGGAGGATTTGAACGCCACTCCACAACCCAGAAGTTATCAACTAGCTTCCTGTCACGAGGGACAGTGAAGCTAAGACTCCCCAGGCCCTGGGGACATAGCCTGAGATGCTGCCAGCTATGGCCTGCCCAGCAAAGGCCCCCAGTGTCCTTGTGTAGAAACACCAGTATGTTTGTGTATGTCTGCCTCTACACACATACTTACACAGACAGAGACTGCTATAGAGACAGGCCTAGTTGTGGTCCCTGCTGGTCACTTCCACACGGACCCTCAGCTCAGACCCAGCACTGAGGAGCTGGCTGTGAATGGCTCATTTCCTCAGTATCCCAGGAGATGGTGAAAGTGCGTGGGTGGCGGGACACAGGTCCTTTAAAACTTGTCCTTGGCGGGACCCAGCAGACAGCATTTTCACAAACTTCCTTGAGCCCGAAGGGTGACACAGTAGCCTGGGAAATCCTTCAGTGCAGAGCAGAGGGGCTCCACCTCCACCCCATGGACAGCTGAGGAAACTGAGGCTGGGCAGGCAGAGGTCTCAGGCACCAGCACAAAGTGTAGTTACAGGTGCACAGCTTAGATTTTCCTGGGCTTCCTCCCTCTGGGAAGGTGAGAATAATGACCTCATAACCGGGAGGGGGCCTCTGGGGCCCCCGCCTGTGGAGTCTGTCTCACACAGTGCAGGAGGGCTGAGTTCTTTCTGTGAGGAGGGCGCCAACATCTAAAGACCTTGCTCTCCCGCTGTTTGTAACGCCTGTGATAGTGACCACTGTTGTCATGGGCGACCTCCCCAGGCCCTGCCCCAGAGACTCCTGCAGGGCTTTGGCACTGAAAACCTCTCTGAGCCTCAGTTTGCTCAGGTGTGAAGTGGGCCCCAAATAGCTCCTCTGTGATGGGCCCTAAACAGCTCCTCTCCAAGCCCCTCACAGACCCCACTGAAGGCCAGCGGCCTTTAGGAAGGCTATCACGGGTAGCCCTGTGGCAGCTGCCTGCCTTGCCACACCCTCAGTCACCCACCTCCTGTCCAGGGGGGACGCAGTCTAAGCCAGTGAGGCTTGGTGGTCTCAGCTGAGGGCAGTGAGATGGGGGTGATGTGGGCAGGGTGCACTTCCCTGGACTCCCAGGTGGCTCCCATGAACCCTTTAACCCCCAAGCAGGCAAAACGCTGAACATTCAAGAGGATGAACATCTGGGAAAACAGGCCCAGAAGCCAGCCCCAACCACACACCAATAGGGGTCCAGTTGGACTCCGCCCCTCTTGCCCAGCCTGTCCCCAGCATAGGTGGCAGATGTCCCCCTGGCTGGGAGCAGGGCCTGGCCCAGGCTGAGCAGAGGATCTGTTTTCTGATAAATTCCCCTGGGTGACTGGCATTTTCTGTGCCTTCAGTTTCACTTACAAATTCACCCCTCCCCAGTACAGGAGAGATGGGGGGTGAGTGTGGGGACCACACAGGGAGGCGAGCTTGAGATCCAGGGTCCAGTTTGGGAAGGTGGAGGGACAGGACACTTCTGAGGGTCGGCACAAACTTCCCAGAGTTCTGAGCATAGCTTCCCGGGCTGGGTGCTCCCCAGCTATGCCTGTTTTCCCCCATCCGGTGAGTGGGAAGAATGCTGCCTCCTCACAGACCTGGTCTCAGGGCCTCCTGTTCACTGCCTGTCCCAGGGGCTCCCAGGGCAGGACGCTGCCTGTTGCAGCTTCCACTGCCTCCAGCCAGACCTGAAGTAGAGATGACCTTGAGTGCCATTTCTCACCTCTCTGCTCTTTAATTTTTTTTTTGTTTTGTTTTTTCTTTTAGCAATTAGCAACTGAACCCAGGGTTTCGCACTGAGCTACATCCCCAGCCCTTTTTTATTTTTTTATTTTTTTAATTTTGAGAACAAGTCTCACACAGTTACTAAATTCCGGGGTAGAACTTGTGATTCCCCTTGCCTCTGTGAATCCAAGTTCTGGCATTACAGGCCTGTACCACACAAGACCTTTAGTTTCTTTATGGGAGGGGGAGAAAAAGATCAGGCTCCTAGGACCTTTGACCAAACCACAGATGACTAACGTTATGCCAGGGAAGTGAAGCTATTACAGGCAGCTAAGTTAGATGGAAATTAGCACACAGTCAGAGGGGGCCTAAGCTCTCAAGGAAGACAGCAGAAAAAGACCTGGAGGTACATCCGTTGAAGGCCAGGCCTCAAGATAGAGACGTAAAGGCCTGCACGCCTCCCTAAGGGATAAGCAGTAACTTGGAACTATAATTGGTACTGCCTGGTCCAAAAAAGTCCAGATAGACATTAGTCATCAAGGGATGACCAGAACACCCAAACCCATTCCTTCCCCAAAATGTTCATTCTGTATATCCTTGCTACTAAGCAGCTATACTTGTAATCTTATTAGGTGGTTATAGTTTGATCCACACTGTACCCACCTCATGATTTTGCTTTATAAAACATTCCTAGATGTGTTTGCTTCAGCAGCCCCATACTAAACCATTCCTACAGAAACGACCTCGGTGCCAACTCACTTTCAGGTCCCCTCCTGTCACTCAGCAGCTATCTCTCAATAAATCTTTCCTACTCTTAACCTCCATTGTCCCTTACAATTCATTCTTCTATTTCAGGGTACATGAAATTGGTGTATCTGACATGGTGCAGGTTGGGAATTATAATTTCCCTTATATCAGAGTCACCTATCTGCCTGACCCACTCTGCTGCAGGGTGGCGGTTTCCGCCACCACCCCCGCCTAGCCCGGGCCTAGGTGTCAGCTGGCTACTTGAGAGAGGCTTTGGAGAACCATCAGCAGACACCAAAGGCAATACACAAATCTGGGCTGCAGCCCATGGGAGCGGGTGTTAAACCGCAGCAGTGTCTGCAGTGAGATGGGAGGGGAAGACACCTCTGTGGCCTTCACCCGTCAAGCCCGTGCACCCTGGTTTGGCCCTGGAAGACCATGTTCCCTGTCTCTGCTGCCACCTGGCTTCCCACACCCAGGAGGTTCCAGGATATCCTGGGAAACAAAAGCTGACTGAGCCGAGGCTGGAGGAGTCAGCGAGCTCTGCTTGCCCAGGCGGCCAGCTGGAGCACCGGGTCCTGCCTCCCTCAGGGACACCGGGCTGCGCTGTCCTTGATCCCACTCCACCTCCCTCCCCAGCACCATCTGCGGGGGAGGCCTTTGTACTCCCATTGCCCAGGCAGGAAAGCAGAGGCTCCGATTAGGAAGCCTCGTGCCCAGAGCCCGGCGAGACCGTTAACACTCAGTCCCCCCGGGTGTGCAGCAAGCCCTGGGCTGGGCTGGAGGCACCTGCACTGCCAGCGCGAGACCCGCCCAGGACGAACCCCACGGGGGGCCACAGCCAAACACGCTGGCCCGTGCAGCGCGGCGGTCCGCTAAGTGGCGGGGGAGAAGCTGGTAAACGCGCACACGACCGAGGCTCAGCGTGGGTCTGCTGTGCCCACGCCCGCGCGCCCGAGCCCCGGGAACCCCGCAGTCTCAGCGCGCGGACCTTGTCACAGTGCCCTCAGGCCCCGCCCGCGCACTCCTCTTCCGGGGCGTTGGCCTGCCGGAGGAGGAGGCGGGGCGGGGGCGGGGCATGGGGGAGGGGCGCGGTGGGCGTGGCATTGGGCAGGGAGGGAGGAGCGGGCGCAGGGCCCGGGCCGCGGGAGGGACGCTGCGCGCTCAGGCAGGAGTGAGTTTGTCCTGCGGCTGCACCATGGACTCGCGCACCGAGGAGTACGAGCTCAACGGCGACCTGCACCCGGGCTCGCCCGGCTCCCCGGACTCCGCGGTGAGACTCTCCCCTCCGCGCTGAGCCCCGTGCCCCGCGCCGCCCTCTCTGGGCCGAAAGCCCGCAGCGCGGCGGGCACCTGTGGGCGTCGGGCCAAGCGCTCGCCGTGTCCACACTGCGGGGAGCGGGGGAGAAGCTGTGCCCCGGCCAAGTCCTGCTGGCCCCGAGCGGTGGCCGCCGTGGCTCCGGGCACCCCGGCAGGAGAGCGGGGGCGCGGCGCGGGTGGGTGTGCTGGTTCCGGGCAATGCCCACGCGTAGCTGCGCCTCATCTCCGAGCCTTCACACCGCCTTCCTAACTTCAGCCCCGCCAGGCCATCTCCTGGTGCGCCGCGGGGTGGGCGTGGAGTTACCGCCTCTGGGACCCAGGCCAGCGGCCGGCGGACGGTTACGTCACCGCGAGGTGACCACACTGCCCATGCTGTCGTGTTGGGGAAACCCGGGCACGTGTTGTGGCTCCATTCACCTGACTTCCAGAAAAAGACGTCACCACTCACTGCCCCCGGGATGCCCACCCACAGGCCTTGGGGTGAAGGGGGACTGTCCAGAGCCTGCCCCCCACATTGGAGGTGCACTTCCTGAACCCCCTCTTCCCCTTGTACTCCCTGCTCACCGCCAGGGGCCTTCGCGTTCGTTAGGGGACCTGGGACCCTGGCAGCTTCAGCTTAGGGCCCACTCTTACCAGCACAGTAGGTCCTGGAATAGACCTCTGGAGAAATGTTGACTTTGGACGTTCTTTCATTTTCCGACCCCTCTAGGGATGAGGGTGGAGAACTGGGGCCCGGCTGGGATTTTCCAGGCGTCCTTGGGGTGTGAACCACTCTGGGGCAGGGACATTTTTGCCTGGGTATTGGTGACTAGTTCTAGGCTAATGGAGTGGGGACAGGCCGGGCAGGGAGGAGGGCCCCCAGGAGCCAGGGCCGGGATGATCTAGGGACTGCACAGATGTTTGTCCCCGGACGAGAGACAGGAGGTCCAGGCACCTGCCTGGCAAGCGCAAGGTCCTGAGTTCGATTCCTGGTACCAAAAAAAAAAAAAAGAGACGAGAGGTCCGCTCACCCCTCTGTGTCTTCTGTGCAGGATCTTCAGAAGGGGGAACAGATGATCCCTCTCTGCGGCCAAGGACATATGGAAAGCAGATCATGGGCAGAGGGCAGGGGCTTAGAAGCTGGTTGAGGGGTAGGCGGTGCTCATCTCCTGTCCTTGGTCTTGCTCAGACTGTAGCCTCCACCCAGCACCAGCTTTTTTCATAGCAGGGTGGCCTGTGTTTCCTGGAGGTTTTGAGTGCATCTTGATTGAGCCCAGGAGGGATTGGGTAGGGGTCCAGGGGTCACTGTATTGGCTCTCGGGACAAGAGAGAGTGAGGGGGAGTCTCTTCCCGCCACCCCATCTACTTCCAGACAGACAGCAGAGAGTGGCCCCGAAAGGCAGAAGGAGCAAAGGCAGAAGCGCAGCATTCCCTGGGCAGGAGGGCTTCCTGTGAGTAGGGGTGTTAGCACTGGCCCCAGAAGATGGGGAGGGGCAGAGTGGACAGATCAGGCCTTCTGAAGCATGTGGAGGGCAGGAGCAGAGGCTGGACAGCAGAATGTGCAGGGCTGGGTAGGAGGTGGTGTGCCAGGAGGCGGGCTACACAGGTGAGGTCTCATCCTAGGTTGTGGGGGTCTTAGGACCCAGGCAGGAGGCTTCCCGCCCTCAGCCCTTGCTGTTGCTTGGCCACATCATAGTAGCACTCTGCGCCTCAGTTTCTCGTCTTTGAAATGGAGGTGATAACAGTGCTCCCCCCAGTGAAAGCCATGGTGAGGGCTACGTGGGTAATGTATAGGAAGTGCTTGGAGAGGGTCCAGCACACTGCAGCGCTGGTGTCTTCCTGTCTTCCCACTTGCTAGGGAGGCCTGCTCCTGGTGACACTGGGTGGTGGTTTGGAAAGGGCAGCAGGTTTTCTCTTCTGTGAAATGGCCCCCATCACTCACCTCCCGGGTGGCTGGGGCTCAGAAGGGTCACAGTTGTACCTTCTTGCCAGAGGTGCCCAGGCGGTAGGGAAGCTTGGCCCCTGCCCTTCCAAATACCCCGTGTCCCCAGCGCCCGTCGGTGTTCAGGAAGTGAACCAGTCTGTTCTTGGAGTCACCTCACTCTGAGCTGGCTGTGGAGGAATAGTAAACACCAGTTTTAACGTGGAAATTGCCCACTGCTATGGCATGCCCTGGGCGTGACTCTGGAGACAGTTTTCTATTAGACACAGCAGGAGACAGGTGGCCAGAATGTAGCAGGGGCACAGCCCTCTGGTGTTAACCAACCCCTCCTGCCCCTCACTGCCCACAAAGTGAGGCTCCTGGGGCCACACCTCGAGCCTCCGGGCCACAGAATTGTGTCTTCCATGCCTACTGTCGGGGCCGGGTGAAAACCCAGCAGCCAGGGGAAGCTTCTGCTTTCCCTCATTTCTGCTTGCCTGGCAGTTCCTGGAAGAGGCAGATAGCCAAGTTCTAAAGGCAACTCAGATGGGCCTAGGGGTCATTCCTGGCCAGCACTGAGCCCACAGGAAGCCAGCCTGCCCAGTTCGTGGCCCAGCTGCCATGGGGACCCGCCTCCTGCACTTCCTGCTGAGGTTTCCTGCCAGGAATACAGACTTAGAGGCTTGAGACCCTCAGGTCCTGCTTCCTGGGAAGGCGTAGGCCTCAGAGGGCTGAACTCCACAGCTAGCCCTGGCCTGAGACAGGGCTTTATGCCAAGTCTGGTCTGGGGGATGGGCTGACAGCTCCTGCCCAGCTCAGGTGGACCTCAGGCAAGGTATGTGAGGAGTCGATTCTCAGCTTCCCCCACCATCTCGTGGTGCCTGGCTGTCCCAGAGATAGGCCCGTGAGCAGGCCAGGCTGGGTCACCCAGGACAGCAAATGGCCTTAAGCCCAGTCAGCCCTGAGCCATCCTTACTTTTCCTAGCTGCTGTTTTCATTTGTGTACAGTTAATTGTGAGGTGGTGGGGCTCTCTGGGGAAGGTGGAGGTTAGCCCCACTGGGTGCTGGGTTTGGGGATGATGGGGGAGGTATGATGGCAGCCTCTACTGCTCTTCCCATGCAGGCCCATGGCAGTGTCACTTGGTATGCATCACCACCTTCATGGGTCCAGCTGATGGCCAAAGTCCTCCTGTTCAAGCCCTGGGGACCCGCAGCACCCTTGCCCTATGGCCAAACCCATCTGTGAGTGCCGCAGGCCTGTTTTCAGATACTCTTCTGTCCTAGCTCCCCTCCCATCTCAACTGTGGACCTGTCCCCTCAGGTGGCCCCAGGACCACATGGCCGGATCTCACTTGTGCTGCCCAGCTGTGCACAGGAGGCAGCGCCCTGCACCAGTGACCTCCCACCCCCATGCACACCCTGTACATCAAAGCATCGTCCTAGTACTTAGAGGAAAGCAGTCCACCTCCACCCCAGCTCCTGGTCTTGCCCGGGGATCAGAACTCCTGTTGGCCCTAGTGACACATTAACCGGGGTGTTTGCTCCTCGCACGGCTCGGCACTGGCATAGGCCCAGGCCTGGGGGATTTCTTAGCATGCTGCTGATACCTGGTTAGGCCTATCCAGCTGCCCACCTGGACTCACCTGTGCCACTGTCACCTGCGAGGCTTAAGGCCTGGTGCATAGTCTCTTTCACATTCACATGAAACCCCTTCAGCCCACCCAGCCCCAGTAGCCCCTTCCCAGGGTGGGTCCAGTGATGCATGTCCTGCTGTAGCACTAGGCTTGGACACTCAGCCTCGATCTGAATTGTGCTCTGCCTCTACAATCTCTGGATGCCCGGCGCCTGGCAGAGCACCTACATGATGGGCTGGGCAGGCTCTGCAACCCTCAGTGTTCTGGTCTGTAGAAGGGGAGAACAATGTATAGAGAGCCTTCCCTGGCTTCTGGGCCTGTGGCCAGGCCTGCACTCCTTATGCCTTACACCAGGAGGGTCACTGAGCTAGGGCCTCTGCTGGTCCCAGGACTCTTAAGTCATCCAGGGGTGTTTGCTGAACAGCTCTGTGGCACGCGGGGAGACTGAGGCTTACAGTTACGGACAGGGAGCCCTTGGGAGCTCACCCTAGGAGGGCTCCCAGCCCTCCTTGGTAAGAACAGAGGGGACAGTGGTTTCACAGTGACTCTGAGCCCCAGGGTCTGCGTTTTAATTCCCTGCAGTCCTCTCTTGCTGTGTGGCTGTGCATAAGGAGGCCCTGCACCAAACCTCAGTTTAAACATGCAGCTGCGAGGACAGCCCATGTCTGCGCATGTGGAGATCCATGGTTGGGAGCCCGGGTGTGGGACTCTGCTGCTGACGGCGCTCACTTGTGTGTCCGAACATCCTCATGACCATGCAGCCATGAAGTAGGGCCATGGTTCAGATGCCTCAGAGTGAAGGACTCTTCCAGCTAAGCATGGTGGCACTCAGGAGGCTACGGCGGAAGGGTCTTGGGTTTGAGGCCAGCCTGGGCAACTTAGTGAGACTTGTCTCAAAATAAAAAATAAAAAGGGACCAGGGGTACAGCTCAGTGCTCCCAGGGTTCAACCCCAGAATCCAAAAATGAAAATCTTCCTCCTACTCAGAGGCCACCAACTTAACCTAGATATATGCTTATGGATGGGTGTGCATAGCTTGTGTGTATTTGTGTGTGTGTGATGTGTGTACATGAGAGCACATGAGTTGAGTGTGTTGTATGCACACATACACGTGCACAGTATATGTTGTAGGCATGTAGCATGTATATGTGTGCATATTGTATACATGTGTATGTCTGTATAGGTGTGTGTGGATTTACATCTATTGTGCATGTAGGTCTGTATGTATCTGCATGTTTATGTGTGTATGGTATGTATATATTGTGATTTGGCATGGTGGGGATATACGTTTGCCATGTTCATGCATGTATGTGCGTGTGTTGTATATGTGTGCATGCATGTTTGTGGGTGTTTGCATATGTGTCTGTGTATGTGCACATATGTCTGTCTATGTATATGGAATCCCTCCTTCAAAAGGTAGGAACTCCTCACAGGGTCTGCATCTTACTTATCCCCTAAGGACAGATCCTAGGTCTAGAGGACCACTGGCGCAGCCGTAAGGGAAGGCAGCGTGGCACTTCTGGAACACATGCCTGCTGCGGGCTTACGATCTCTGGATGCCCAGCTCCTGGCAGAGCACATACATGATGGGCTGGACTTCTGCGAGGGCAGAGCTGGGAATGACCTCAGAGCCGGGCACTGGTAGGCTTGGGCTGTCATAGTCAGACCCTTGGCAACTCGGAGGGAGCAGCCACTCGCCGGGAGAGTCCAAGGAGTGCGACCACTTCGGGGGCTTGGTGATATACTTGCAGCGACCCCAGAGCAGCACTGGGGCTACAAGGCTGGCACTAATGGCCATCCAGGCTGGGCTAGCTTTCCATGTGTACTCTTGAGTCTAGAATTTTGGTTTTTTTTTTAAGTGTGTAGTCCAGGCTGACCTCAAACTCAAGGCAATCCTCCTGCCTCAACCTCCTAAGACTGAGGATTACAGGTGTGCGCCACCACACCCATGTAGGATTTTGATCCAGGTGAACTTGGCAGAGAGCAGCTGATGCCAAACGCAGATGGTTGGAATGTTCTGGCTGAGGTATAGGTAGCAGAACCTACCTGGTGTTTCCAACACCACCCTGCCTTCCTCGTGGACACATTGTTTGAGATGAAATTTAAACTTAACAGGATCAAAGCAAAGTCCCCACCCTCGGTTCCCTGTTTCAGCTGCTCGTAGCTTTCCAGGTTGCAGAAGTGTCCACGTGACTGCTGGCATCCACCCTCCTTTGGCACCAGCCTCCTATCCCTGCATCTTTCATGAGTCTGGAAACAGGATCTCCCCGTGGCTCAGGAGGCTGCCACTGGTAGTGGGTCCACCATTCCGACCCACTGCCAAATCCTTGAAGACTGCAGTGCAGGGCTGGGTGACTCGGGGTCACAAGTGGACATAGGGCTAGGGCCCTGGGCCGGTGGGATTTTCTTCAGTGCCTGGGAAGGGTTGTGACTGGAGTAGCTCGAAGTGGGCCAGCTGGCTCAGCGGAAAGAAACTGGACACCCAAAACTGCCTTGGAATGAAATGCACCAACCCGAGAAGTGACTTTCCGTGGCAGGAGAGCGCTACATCCTGCCAGGGGTTGTCATGGGAGACCCCAGATGGGGCCCTTAGCATGAGGGTATTTGCTGGGCATGGCGGTGCATGCCTATAATTCCAGCACTCTGCAGCCTGAGGCAGGTGGATCACTGAGAGTTCCAGGCCAGCCTGTGCTACATAGTGAGTTTAAGACCACCCTGGACTATATAATGAGACCCTGTCTCAGAAAACTAAAATAAACCTAAACAAAACCCAAAGCATGAGCGTATCTGGAAACAAAGAAAGGCATTGGAAGTAGAGGGAACTACAGGGCCCCTCTATGCTCACTGGGTTAGGGAGATGGAGATGACGCCGGAAATGTTACCTGGGCTGGGACCCCAGTGTCACCAGGCAGTGTGTACTCCCACCTGTGTCTGTGTGCTGAGCCTAAATGTGTGTGGGATGCCAGGCCATATATTGAGGGCCCGCTGTGTGCTGGGGGATTCACCACCGAGTAGCTTGTGGCTTGGGAGGTGGCCAGACTTCTGCAGAGTGAGACTGAGGCCGCGGAGGTGGGGTGTGGAGGGCAGAGGGGTCTGAGGTGTGGAGGCGGCCAAAGCAGCAATGGCCTTTGGGCCTAGCCCAGGAAGGACTTGTTTCAATCCTGGACCGTTGTGCCCAGATCTGCTCACCCACGCATCACAGCAGCTAGGCAGGAGTCCAGACCCTGAGGGCACAGGCAGCCAGGTGGTTAGGGAGGAGTTCTAGCCCCTGCCCCAGGGCAGAGGGCAAGAGCCTAGTGGCATTTTCCAGCTGAAAACCAGCGTGCATGCGCTGAGGTGGCTGTTGGATGTTCCCTTTCTCTCCCCTGTTCCTAAAGAGCGTGTTGCAAAGGCTGAGCACGTTCTCTTCCTAGAGTACTAGGCATTTGGCATGGGTGGGTGGCGGGAGCCAGCCCCCGCAGTGCCCTTGGCCAAGTCTCTCCAGCCTCATGGAGGCTGCAGCCCCACCCTGCCACCCCTTGTCCCTGCACCATCCCCTCCCTGTGTGCTCCCCTGCCCTGCTGAGTGTCCCCCTCCCCACAGCCGCCCTCCCGCTGGGGCCGGAGGAACCAGCCCATCAATGTGAACCATTACGCCAACAAGAAGAGCGCCGCTGAGAGCATGCTGGACATCGCGCTGCTCATGGCCAACGCGTCGCAGCTGAAGGCTGTGGTGGAGCAGGGCCCTGCCTTCGCCTTCTTCGTGCCCCTGGTGGTCCTCATCTCCATCTCCCTGGTGCTGCAGATTGGCGTGGGGGTGCTGCTCATCTTCCTCGGTCAGTGTCTGTACACAGCCAGGGTGGGCGCTCTGGGTCCTCAGGGCAGGGCCTGTGGGACACTGGGGATAGGATGGCCTGCTTCCCGGATGGTCAGGGCTTCCTGCCACCCACTGCCTAGGCTTCCTGCCACCTGCTGCAGAGTCCCACAGCCCCAGCAGCAGCACAGCTGTCCAGCTCGGTGACAACTGTCCAGTGATAAAGAGTAGCCAAGCTAGGAAGTGAGGAGGGAACCCTGGACCCCCTGGGCCTGGGAGGTGAGGACCAGCATGTCCGTGGAAGGGGTAGCCAGCTGAATCCACAATGCAGGGTACAGCCGCTGAACTCCATTCTCCCCAAACAAAGTCACTTGACATCAGACCAGCTTTCTCTGCTTGATGGACAGACAGACCCACGGAGCAGGCAGGAAGGTTGGCTGGGCTCCGTGCGTGTTCCAGGGCTCCACAGCCCCCTGCCTTTTGCTGTTGGGACCCCAGGGCACCCTTGATGGCTGGCCAGAGAATAAATTCTGGTCAGGAGCAGCACAGGTACCAGGTCACTTCTGCTTTGCCTCCTGGCTGAATGACTTGGGCCACACGAGTAGAGCTGCTGAGACCTCAGTTTTCCCACCTGGGAAAGGTGGCATAGCAGAGCCTTGAGTAGTTGGGAGGTCCGTGGATTGAAGCGCAGGAGGGGGTCAGCACATTTGCCTCACAAACCAAACCCGGCTGGCTTCATGTCCAAAAGTAGGGTGACCTTGGGTGTGTCACCTGCATGGGCTTCAGTTCCTTGTAGGGAAAGTGGGGGACCACAGGAGGGCCCCCAAGGCAGAGGACCTGTTGTCAGGGTTTCAGCCAAATAGGCGGTTTTTATCTGGGAGGCTGAAACTTACCCTAAGCGTGGTAGAGGGTCCTGTAAGGTCCAGATAATACAGTCCTGGGCAGAGTGCCAATGCCATGCTGGTTCCTTCTGGCCCACAGTTAAGTACGACCTTAACAACCCGGCCAAGCACGCCAAGCTGGACTTCCTGAACAACCTGGCCACGGGACTGGTGTTCATCATCGTGGTGGTCAACATCTTCATCACTGCTTTCGGGGTCCAGAAGCCTGTCCTTGGCGTGGCGCCCCAGCAGTAGAGTGTCCAGGTGAGTGGGGTCGGGCGAGCATTTGCGGCTGACCACTTGTGGTCCCTAGCCAGCTGTCCCTGGCTCCTTGACAGGCCTTAGCTCCCTCAGCCATCCCACACGGTCTCCGCCTGCTTGCTGCTCTGAGATCCTGTGATCGCAGTGTTTAGATGAGACACGTGTTAGAGCCACCATCTGAGGACTGGGTTGGGTTGGGTTGCATTTGCAGTGCTCAGGATGGAGCCCAGAGCCTCGTGCATACAAGGCAAGCACTGTACCCTGAGCCACACCTCAGACCCTGTGACCACTGTTTAAACACCCAGCAAGCTCTCAGAAAACAGATTTCTTGCTTTTCCTAAGAAGCCTCACTCAGCAGGCAACACTTCATGTGAGCTCTCTTCTGAGAAAGTGGCCTCCTGCAGAGTAGGCCCCTGCTCCCCACTCTGACCAGGACAGCAGGATTTGGGGTCTTCTCACTGGAGCCTCCACGACATCTATCTCCCTGTCCCTGGCCAGGTCTCAAGGGGCCTGCAGCACCTCCTCCTCTGGTGTGGATCCAGGGCAGACCGGAGCCACCCCATTCCTTGACTATAGGTCACGGCCCCCAGGGTAGAAGCATTTCCCACATTGTGCTTGGCCCCTGCCTGTGTCCCAGCTCGTAGCGAGTGAGCGTCTGCCTGAGGACCCCAGCCTGGGAGGAGGATGAGCAGGGAGCCAGGGTGAGCCAGATGGAGGCTGGAGCCGTCCATTCCATAGTGCACACGGCGGAGGGCTGTGCACGCCCTTGCGGGGTGTACCCTGGGCCCACTGGCTTGGCCATGGAGCCTGAGGCAGCCCTCATGCTGGTCCGGGATCTGGGTGGCCCCACATGATCTGATTTGCTGCCCAGCTACTAGCCTGGTGTGTGGTGGGTCATTCTCCCTGAGGGCCTGGTGCCAGGCTGCCCCTTCACACATGGCGCCTGCTGTGTGGCCCGAGCACAGTCCTTCATGCTCCCTGAGCATTTGTCATCTGTTGGCCAGGAAAAAGGCCCCAGGGCCTGTGGGCACACTGGCCATGTCCTCCTGGCCACACCTCCCAGGGCTGTCTTCAGGGTCGCTGAGTCCAGGCTGCTGCACGTCCTGTACTAGAAGCAGCCGGAGCAGAGTCCTTGGCCTGCTGGGCAGCTGTGGTCCCAGCTCCCTGGTCCGGGCCCCATGCACTGGGCCAGGCCTTTCAATCCAGGCAGCGACCTAGGGACACTATTTCAAGGGCAAACTGAGGGCTAGGAGAGTTGTGATAACCCATTCAGGTCACACAGGGCTTCTCATTCCAGAATTTGAGTGTCCCAGTGGGTGAGTCACTCATGGGCTGGTCAGCAGGGTGGGCTTAGAGCCCACTCTGGCCAGGGAGCTGTCAGCAAGTGGGTCAGCACTCATACATCTTCTCTCCTTTCCAGATCCTGAGTGGCACCTGCCCCACAGCCAGTCACCCGGAGCCCAGGACTGCATTCCCTTGAGGTATCCACCTCCCTGTGTGTAGCACGCTGAACCTGCCAGGCCAGCACCTGGAACAAGCCTCTGCTCCCACTGTGACTGTCATGTGGGGGCTGGACACAAGGCCCAGAAGGCCAGAACTGGACAGTCCCAGACACCTGCCACCCGGGGACATGTAGCAGGTCCATGGACAGGCCGGACGAGGAGCCAACCGGCCTCTGTCTCAGGACATTCCAGAAGGACAAGGAGTTGCTCCTCCCCTTGCCAATATACCAGCATCCCTGCTTCCTATGGGGCCTGCCAGGTCCCCTGGTGACCACTGCCTCTGCTGTCTCCTAACCCAGAGACACCCAGTGGTGGCCTGGGGCTGCAGCCTCAGTGCCTGGGCTGTGTAACCGTCGGGAGGCAGCTGTGCCCACTTGGGCCCAGGACTGTGCTCATACCTTCTACCAGCAGCAGCCTGGCAGAGCCCCAGCCCCTCCCTAGGTGCCCAAGTGCCCACTTAACAAGAATGACCAACAAAGCCCATGCTCCTTGTCGGGCTCCGGGCACCATCCTCCCTGTCCTGGGGCGGGACCCTGTCAGTGCCCCTTCCTGTAAGCCTCAGAGCGCACAGCTCATCCAGTGCCTTCCCCACAAAGTTGGGGTTGGGGACCTCTTTGGCTCCCAGCCTGTCTCAGGATGCGGTTTGGAGGCAGAGGGGCCTGGGTCGGAGGCTCAGATGCCTTGCTGCTTTTCTCTCTTTTTTAAAAAAAATTTTTATTTTGAGACAGGGTCTCGCTAAGCTGCTCAGGCTAGCCTTGAACTCCTTATTCTCCTGCATCCGCTTCCTGAGTAGCTGGGATTGTAGGCATGTGATACTGCACCCAGCAGCTTTTATTCTTTATACCAACACATAGAAAAGTTGTAAGAAAAGTTGAAGAATGCCCTCACAGACTTGTGAACATTTTGCCAAGTGTGATCTCTGCTGTCCCAGGACCTGCGCAGCCAGCCTGTCCAGTGTGTGTGAGGAACGCAGAACCCCAGGCCCCTGGCCTCAGGGTGAGGACCTGGGTGGGTTGGCCCCCGGGCGCTGCAAGACCCCCAAGCACTCCTGTGTCAGTGCTAGAAACAGGGCCTTTGCAGTCCTCCTGGAGCCAGCACAGCAGCCCCATGTTCAGGGCCCTGATGTGTCCCTTGTAGCAAAACAAGATAAAGACCTCCCTAGGACCCCACACATGTCACACTGCTTTTTGTCCAAGTTCAGGGCAGGCTCTCTCACCCTGGCAGGCCCTGTAATGTCCCCCAGCCTTGCCCAAGCCTTGTTTCTGGGGCAACAGTCCTGGGGCTGCCCTGTCCAGGGACCTGCTCAGGTGTACGCTGCCAGCACAGTGCCCCTGGTGTGGGCTGGCTCACAACAGCCAGATGTTGGCCACCACATGGCTTGGTTCCTCCTCTAAGGAGGAAATTCACCCAGATGGGGCTGCGGGAGGGAGGATTCCAAGAGGGGTGCACTGAGGCCAGGCCACAGCCCTATCCCCAGAGGCACTTCCTGGCCCCCACAGCTCTGTCCCTTGGTGGCCTCCCTCAGGCACCCATGTTTGCTGCACTATATCATATAGTCATGTCTCACTAGCATGGCCCCACGGCCCTACCCCTCTCTCTGGAGTGATTGCTCCCAGGCATCCCAAGGCCATTGTACCGCTGTCCGAGGCTACCCCTTCCTGTCACTTGGCTAGTCCCTACCTGGGTTGTTACCTTTGATACTTGGGGCGAGAGTCACCATCCATGTTAGCAGAGGTTGGTGTGTTTGGCCAGAGCGTGGTCTGAGCCCAGCCCAAGGGGAATGTTGGCACCAGAGAACAAGAGTCCTATCCAGCGGGCCTCCTGGTGCTGGACTTATGTTTGGTCCTTGGTCTGGCCTGGCTCTCCCATCAGTCCCACCTCCTGCAGCCTGTGTCCCACCTCTCTCGGGCATACAGTCAGTGCTCAGGAAACTTCTGGGGTAGAATTCATCCCTCCAAGTGTGCTGGGCCCTGTGCCTCTGTCGTAGCAGGCAAGGGGCAGATAGAAAACAGTCCAGCTCACTCCCAGGTGCTCCTCTGTGAGGCCTGCCCTGCCCTGAAAACCGAGATCTGCTCTCAGGAACAGCACTGGTGGGGAGACCTTGAGAGTGAGCAAGATGTGCAAGGAGCAAGGAGATGGGCCCCCCAAGTTGTGCGGAGCCACAGAGGGACATGTAGGGAGGTCAGCAGGCAGTGCTGGAGGGGGGCGCGTGTTACAGGCAGGGGGTTAGCCTGAGCTCTGAGGTTGGTGCAAGCCCTGAGGTTGGCATTGCAAGAATGGTGGGGTGGGGAGAGTGGGGACAGTCACACAGAACTGGGAATGGCCATGAAGGGCTGAGTGAGATGGAGGTTTGTTTCTTTCATCTTCTTCCTATAATGGATTAAAGAGGTGATTAGCTAGATGGATAGGCAGGTAGGTGGAAGGGTGTGTAGGTGAATGGGGTAGATAGATAGATAGATAGATAGATAGATAGATAGATAGATAGATGATAGATAGATGATAGATGGATGATAGGCAGGCAGGCATAGACATGATAGATAAGGATAGATTAGGCCATGGCTTGGCTAAGTGTCTCCCAAAAATCCCCAGGGTGGCACCATTGGTAAGTGGTGGAACCTTTAAGAGGTGGGGCCTAGTGGGAGGTCTGTAGATTATTGGGGGCATGGCCTTAAAGGAGACTGGGACTGCAGCCCCCTCCTGTTCTTTCTTTTTTCTCCCTGGCAAGTGAGGTGAATGGCTTTCCCTGCCGTGTACTCCTCCCATGATGTGCTGCCCCCAAAACAATGGGGCTAAAACCTCCAAAACTCTGTCGTGTATTTTATTATAGTGATGGAAAGCTGACTATTGTAGGTAGATACTGTCTTAGTCACTTTCTTGTAGCTGAGACAAAAATACCCAACAGCCACAACTTGAGGAGAGGATTATTTTGGCTCACATTTTTGTTCCATTGTCACCAAGCTCCAGGCCAGAAATGGCATGGTGGAAGGACCTGGGGGAGGGGTGGGGAGACTGCTGCTCTTCCGGGAGCCAGGAGGCAGAGAGAGAGGAGAGCTGGGAACAGAGATACACCCTTCCAGTCACAGCCCCAGTGACCTGAGACCAACCAGAACCCACCTCCTAATGCAGAGGTAACTATGAACTCACTGTTCACTCCCTGTGATCCAATCTCCTTCCAAACACATGAGGCTTTTGAGGGATGTCCCAGATCTAACAGGATAGAAAATACCTATTAAGAGGTGGTGGGCAGATTGATATATGAGGTGAAATATACAATGAATGTTTAAATTTTTTAAAATGTGTTGCAGTAAAAGACATTGCTATTAATCCATATCCCCTCACTTAGAACACACTTATCACATCAGTCTGGCCACTTTCTGAAGCAGTTCTGGAAGTGCTCTTTCCTGAGTGTCTTCAGTTGTGCTGTCATGGCTACTTCAGTGTCCTACATTGACTCAACAGGTTCACTTTTCATTGTCGTTTTTACTTTGGGGAAGATCCAGAAGCTGCACGGTACCAGGTCCACTGAATGAGGTGGATAAGGATATACGGTGGTGGTTTTAAGAAACTGCCTTTCTGTTGGATGCACTCAGCCTGCAGCATTCATTGTATTTTTTTTAATCACACTTCTTACTGTTGAAAATCAGGGAGCCAAATGTTTCTTCTCTTGCTCTCAGATACCTATTTTGGGGGAACATTAACTCCAGTGCCTCTTGACCTGGGTGTGGCCCCAAGAAGCCACCCCAGAAGTTGTCTTCTGTCCCCCCCACCCCAGGGTCATCCTTTTCTAGCCAGTGGATGTCACCAGGCTGGTTTTAAGCCAGGGTGTCCCCCGCTCCCACATAGCTGCAGTGGGGTTGACTAGAAAGTAGGGTGAGAACCTCTGAGAAACGGCCTGGTCCCTCCCCCAGGGCCCTCACTCCACTGCAACATGAGCCCAGGGACCTAGCTTGGGATCAGATTATGACTTGGGGTCCCATGGCCACTTGAGCAGCAGCTTCTAAGGGTTCTCACCCACCTTCCAGATGGTGAGGGTGGAACATTCGAGTAGTGATGAGGACCAGCAGTGACGTGACCCCAGTCACAGAAGAGCATCCTGTCCACCTCTCCATCTCCCAAGAGCCCTTCAGGGGCTGGGGACAGTGGGCAACAGGACAGGCCAACCCCCTCCCAGACCCTCATCCACCCAAGAGAGCCATGACCTGTGGCTGGCTTGGATGCAATTAGGGGACATTGGCAGGGCTTGTATGAGCCATTTGCAAGCAGGGTACTGACCTAACGGCAACTGGGAAGTGTTACCACATATAAAGCAGTGTCAGCGCACCCCCAAATCCAACCCAGCGCCTGCAAGCTCAGCATTCACCAGCCCTGTGCTGTTCAAGATGCGGATGTGTTTTCTCTGCCTCACGTGCTCTGTGTCCTCACTGCCCTGTGACCAGACTGCCCAGTGCTCCACCCCAGCTGCTCTCCTCCCTTCCTGTACCCAAGCCTCTGGCATGGGGAGCTCTCCCTCAGCTCCAGCTGCCCCCTACTGGGGGGATCTCTGGAGTGGCCACCCTCCTACTTGTATGTAAGAGCACCCTGGATGGGGGGCACTTCTACCCAGGACTTGAAGGATTTCAACAGCAAGAAGGACCCAAGCAGAGGGAGCAGCTTGTTCCTAATATGAGTCCCTACAGCAGTGCTGCAGCACATGGCACAAATGCCCTGAGGCCACAGGTAGATGGTGAGGGCCAAGTACTGGAGGGTGGCACCAGGGAGGAAGGGGCCTGCTGTGCCTTCCGCTCCCCGTGCACTTGATGCACTTCGGGTCAGGGGCACCACTTGGCCAGGTGGTGACAGGGCGGGGCACGATGGGCACCAAGGTCTAGAGGGGGAGTTCCCAGTGTTCTCCCCTCCATAGTCCTCTAGGAGGGCACACTAGCTGAGGACCAGCCAAGTGGGAGACAAAAGCTGGGAGAGGGGCCTGGCAGTGGTCAGGGATGTTGGAGTCCAGCCAGGTAAGGGGTGGGCCCAGGAGGCAAGAGACCAGGAGGGGCATCCAAGGGCAGCCTGTGGGCTTGGGGCAGGGCCTTAATGTGTCACAGATGGAAGGAGAAAGTTGGCAATGCTGAGAGGCTGGGTGGGCCCAAGGCCAGGGGACAGGCATGTCCTGTGTGTGCCCACTCAGATGGCACCCCGGAGAATCAGGTCTCACAGGTCCTTCAGCAGCTCTGGTCACAGGTGGGGGCAGCCCCAGGGCCTTGGCATGGGCCTGTGGTCTCACTTGTCTCTGGATGTTTCTAGTCTTCAGCTGATAGAAACCAGAACCATCCATCCATCCATCCATCATCTATCATCATCATCACCATCTTTCTAGCTGTATATCATCTGTCTTCTATCAATCATCTATCTGTAGTACTGGGGCTTGAACACAAGGACTTCACTCTGAGCTACATCATCTTCTTACCTGCCTGCTTTCCTCTCCCCTCCTGTCTCCTCTCCTCTCCTCTTCTTTCTTTCAAAATAGGGCCTCAGTAAGTCACTAAGTTGCCCAGGTTGTGTTTGAACTCGAGATCCTACTGCCTCGGCCTCATACTGCCAGGATTACAGGTATGCACCATGATGCCTGGCTAGATATGAATCCTGATGTCCCTCCAGGTTCCTTCCCTTTCCAGAGGTGAGTTATGCCTGTCCACACCCTGGGGCCAAGTATCTGTCACCTTCACTAGGGCCTCTGTCACCACTAGAGGTGTACTGTGGTACTGGGTACCTTCCTAAAAAGCAGTAATTCATCAGCAGTAATTCATGAGCCTTTCTTGGGTTGCCAAGAGCCTTGCCATTCTGAGCTGTGCCCATGGGGGTGCCCAGAGTAGGGTCCCGTGTTAGAGGAGCAGACTGAGACACCAAGACTTAGAAGCACATTTCTTGATCCTGCAGTCTGATGGAAGAGTGAGAGGGTAACTGGGGGCCTCCCCCAAGCCACCTGTCCTCGCTGGGCACAAGGTGGGAGCCCTGAGGGCACAGCTGTCCGTGGCCCTCACCTACAGTTCTCTGATGCAGCGGCACAGGCAACATGATAAGCACAGAGCTGGCTGTGTGGAGAAGGGAACCCAACTGAGAGTCCCACTCACCGTGCTCCGTGAGCCTGAGCCTGGGTGCAGCCCTCCCAGGAACTGGCCCCAGGCCCACCTCAGCCACCCGTGCCATCCGGGGTGAGGGCCTGCCTGGCGCCTCCCGCACCACATCCCCGTGCCTCTGGAAACCCCCATGGAAAATGCAAACGCATGGTGACTCTGCTGGTGACAAATACTGAAAAAAAGCCAGCGGAGAGGAGCCAGCAGGTGGAGGCCATCAGCAACTGTCAGGGCCTCATCAGGTGCCTCGCTCGCACGTTTGTTCTGTGTGTATCTGTGCACACACACTGTGAGTAAATGTGCAAGCATGTGCTGTGTGTGCATGAGCACACTGCACGTGTGCCGCGAAGAGCCGGTGCGGGCGGGCGGGTGGGCACACGAACACTGTCCTGCGACCCTCAGCCCGTCTGTTGAACAGGGGTGGTGACTGGAGTCACAGGCAAGGCGTGCGGTGACGCCTTGGGGTGTATGCATCAGGAGCTGCCTGTCCTGTGTGAGGTGGGGGCTCAGGTCTGATGACAGGAGCCAGGTCCCCCAAGCCCTCGGCTCTGTTTGGTCTCCCTGTGTCCAAAAAATGACCTAAGACAGGCCCTGCGGCAAGGCAGCCCGCCCCAGGCCCAGGACTCAGAGGCACCCTGACATTTTCCATCTCTACAAGGCTCTGTGGACTGCCCTGTTCTCAGAGTCTATGTCCCTGTTCAGCTGGCCAGGCTGGCCCTGGTGGGTCAGGACAGGACTTGTTTCCTGCCTCAGGCTGTGACTGTCGCTGTGTTCCTGGCCCTGGACCCCTCAGCCGGGCCTTGGCAGTGCTGACTCATCTGCTCCCCGTGGGCCTGGGTCCTCTGGGATTCTGTTCCCAACACACAGCAGCTGGCCAGGCTGTGAGGGGCCAAGGGACTGGACAGGGACCCAGAGGCCCAGGGAAGGGTGCTGGGGTGGGGGTGGGAGTCCTCAGACAATCAGAGGAAGGGAACAGGAACAAGGTAGATGAAACTCGACCCTGACCTAACATCCCATCTTCCCGGTGACTGGCAGAGTGAGCCTGGACAGCAGGCCCTCCTCTGGGCTTCAGTGGCCCCATCAGGAAAGTGAGGATTATGGTCCTAACCTTCTGGGATTGTAGGAATTGAAGTTAACATATGTGAACACCTGGGGCAGCTGATGCCCCTGAGCTACAGCACTTACCACTGCCCCACACCCATGGCCTGTATTCCCAGGCAGCAGGAGGGCGCCCAGGCCAGGGCCTCACAGAACTGCCAGGCTGGTGACAGGAGTCCATCCTCACCTCAGCCTGTGGGGCTAGAGGGAGACCTGGTGACGGGGACCACCAAGGGCAGGAGGAAGGCTCAGAGGGGAAGCAGCAGAGGGGACAAAGGGGGACACCTGAGGTGGAAGGGGCTGCAGGCAGGAGATGGTGTGGGAGGAACATGTGCAGGGAAGGGGACAGTGTCAGAGGACACCTGGCATGGGCAGGCAAGGGCTGGGCAGGGAGAGGCCAGGGGCAACCAAGGGCCCAGCCTCAGGTAGAGCAACCAGTCACCCTCCTACCACAAGGGAGCAACTCAGACGGAGAGGACTCAGCATTTATTATCATCAAGCACCTTGTAGGGTGAAGGTGATGTGCTTCGTGGAGAAATTATAAATAATGAAAAGGAAACATTTAGAAAAAGAGGTGCCAGCCCTGCAGCAGGCAGCGGAGGGAGGGGACTCTTTGGTTGTGCAGTGGGCGAGGCCTGGTGTCTGCTCCGTCACAGCCCCCCAAGGTCGTCTGCTAGGAAGGCCAGGAGGTAGCGGCTGACGTGCCTGTCAATGATGACGGCCGAGAAGCCCAGGATGCGCCGGGTCCCGGGCAGCACCTTGGGGTCTGGAAGACAGATGGGAAGGAGGGGTCATGTAGGCAAACTGATTTGCACTCGCCGGGTCCTAAGGGGGCGGGAACAGGTTGAGCCCCAGCACTGCCACCCCCTCCCACTCAGACCCTGGAGCTTTCAGCTCCTCCAAGTGACCTGTGTGCGGCCTTCGGGTGCAAGGCCCTGTGCGCGTACACCACGCCCACACTCGGAGGCCTTCCCAGCATGACAAACTGGGGCGTCACAGGGAAAAGGGGCTGAGAGCCGTGTGGCCTCGGTGGCCTCCTTCACGTTGGGCCTGCAACATCGTGGGAGGAAAGACCCCAGGCTCTAGGGCAGGAGAACTGATCCATGTGGCTCCAGGTCACAGGTGTGGGGTGGAGCCCCCTCCTCTGCAGAGAATAACTGGGTAACAGAGGCCACCAAGGCTGCAGGCTGCACACACTCAACTTCTCTGCTACTCTACTGCTGCACAGGTGGGACATGGAACTGGGGGCGGGGCCAGGATGCCCTGCTGCGCACAGGGGCTGTGGTACCCACCTGGAGGGCAGCAGTAGAGCAGTAGGGCGAGGCCGGTGGCCAGGCCGAGGCCTGCCAGGAAGCTCATGGGTCCTGGGGAGGAATGAGCACGAGAATGAGGGCTAGGCCAGCAGGCACAGAGGGGCTGTCACCAACAGAAAGGCAGGAATGGAGCCCGACGGGACGGAGAGGCCCCTGGGGCAGAGACAGCGCCCTGGGGGGAGGAGAGAGAGACAGAGAGGGAGGGAGAGGGCGGCGGAGGGGGTGTTGCCCTTGTTACCCCTGTCACTCAGCCCGTGGCTCTCGCTGCCCCAGTCGAGCTCTGTGCAATCTGAGTGTTCTGGAACAGAATCAGAGCGCGGTTAGTTGTGGGCTGGGCCAGAGAGCAGGGTGGTGGCCCCCAGGGGAACCCAAGGCCGCTTCTCCCTCCCGAGGCTGCTGGGCCTCACATCGCCTTGCATGGCCACCCCATAGTGCTGGGATGGCCAGGCCAGACATGGTGAGGTCAGGCCCCTCGGGGAAGCCTGACATCAAGGGCCATCATTCCTGTTGTCCGTAAGACCCCAAGTTTAGCGCAAATATCCACTGTTAAAAGCCAACTGCGTCATCCTGGCAGCTCGTGCCAGATGCAGCTGGGGAGCGAGCTTCTCCCCAGCCTTCCTAGTCACTCTACCCTCTGGACAGGCTCTGGGACACCTAGGAGCCATGGAAGGTGCTCTACCTCCAGCAGAGCTGTGCCTTGGCCTCAGCGATGTCCTGGATGACTGATGGAAACCTCACAGGCAGTGAGGGCCTATCTACCTGCCCTTGGGTGGCACTGCATCCTGCAAGGCCTAGGGAAGCTTCCACGGGATCAGAGTCCTGACTGAGTGGGTCATCCCTGTGGCTGGACACAGCAGCCCTCCTCCCAGGGCCCTGTGCACAGAGGCCTCAGAATGGAGCCACCACCCCAGCCTTGCAGTGCCCTCTCTGGCTGCAGAAGCTCAGAAGAACCCAACCCTAGGGACCTACACATCTCCTGAGGCCCGGGGGGTACCGCCCGGGGACATGACCCTCTAAATCACAATACACAAGATTGACCAGCCATCCATGCCCGAGGGTGCTATAGACACTCAGGTGTGTGCACATGGGCTGTGGCAGAAGCAGGCACCATCCCAGTGTCCCCTGTGAGCCTGGGTAACTCCAGGCTGGGACGACCTCAGGAGCACCATTCGGTGCTGAGGACAGGGCTGGTATCAGCATGCAAATGAAGTCCCCACAGTGATGAGGGTGAACAAGAAAGGAGGGCCAGCTCTGCGACACCAGCTTCAGGGTGAAAACGAGCATGAGAACAAGAGACAGAAAGGAGGAGCAACAGAGGGCAAGACAGGGACACAGGATGAGATCTGCATGCCTGCATGCTCTCCCTGGAGGCCATGGGATGTCCCTAGGGAGGGCCAGGAAACAAGAGACACCCAGGCCAGAATGGGGACGGAGGACATCCTTGCTGTCAGCAGTCATGTGGCGCCCCCAGCCCAGCATGAGCACTGGTGCCCGGCAGACTTACGCAAGCTGTGGCGGCTGGGCAGGTGGCTGTGCAGGGGCTGGGCGTGGATGTACAGGGCTCGGTAGAACTCCTGGCAGTGCCGCTCACCGCTCCGCTGCAGGTGGCTCAGGAGGTCACAGAGCCGCACGCGCAGTGACGCCTTGGGGTTCCGGAACTGGGGGCAGGAGGGAGCAAGAGCAGGCTGGGGGGCGGCGACAGGTGAGGGTGGGGCACTGGGCCCAGGACCCAGCTTCAGCGTCCTCTCTGGGTGCATGATACCCAGCGGGCAGCATCACCTGACACCCCGGGCCCCTGTCCACAGCCAGCAGCCACAGCATTACTGCTCCTCCTCAGTCCCTGTGGCATGGGAGGGGGGAAGCTGAGGCTGGAGAGGTCACCGAGAAAGCACAAGGCAGGGGACAGCATCCTAAGTGACGGGACTTGGCGTGGCTTCCTCTGTGACCCCAGTACATCACCTCACCCTCTGAGACTTTTTTCTTCATCTGTAAGGGAAATGATAAACCCACAAGGTAGGGTTTCATGGGGAATTAATGAGGTGATGGCATAAGTGATAACTTCTATTGTTCTGCAGTCTATAGGAAAGAGATTCAGATATTTAAAAAATTAGCTGAGGTTCTTTTAATTCATTCCATACAGAAACTGGTTGTAAAGGCCAGCGCACAGGGCACTTGGCACTGACCCATGGAGCAGGAGGCAGTGGTGTGGTGCTGTCCCCTGGTGGTAGCATACACTGACTGTGGAAACTGCAAAGCAGACCAATGAATTGCAGGAGCCTCTTTTTCCTGCAAAAATGTCTCATTTTTTTTCCAAATGATCATGTAGCAGACTTCTAATTGCACTGAGACTGACTGTAGTCTATCACTTCTTTGTTTATTTGCTGAGATGGGGTCTCCCTATGTTGCCCTGGCTGGTCTCAAACGCCTACCTCCTACCTCAGCCCCTGAGTAGCTGGCACTATAAGTATTGACACCAAGCCTGGCTGAGCCTATCATTTTTAAGTCACTGTAGGACTTTCACAATACAGGCAACATGTGAGCAGTAGCAGGCCCCTGTTGACTCCTGTTGTGTCCTCACCAACTAGCCTGTCCCAAGAAAGACCTCAAACCTCAGTACATCCCTGCAAGTGGCACTGTGACTGACCACCATGTCATGTGAGGAAAATGCAGCTCCAAGAAGGAAGGGATGCACTCAGCAAGGAGCCCAGGGACAAGACCCAGACCCCAAAGGCCTGGTGGGGCCTAGCAACCAGCTCCAGCCTCTCTAGTCCTAGTGACCACTGCCAGGAGCAAGTGGCTTGTGGTAGGAGCTGGAGCTTGGGAGAGGATGTGCCCAACTCTTTCACCCAGAGTCCCTGAGACCAGGACCACCTTACAATCTCCCAGGCCTGGGGGGCTGGCAGGATGAGTCCTGGGACAGAGGCAGGAAGTACATCTGGAATGCCATCTGCAACAGGACCTGCTGGTGCATCTACACTCTGAGAGGCCACGGTGCGGCCTGCTCTGGAGACTGGGGACCCTGGACACGGGACAGCCTCTTGGGCCTCAGTAGCATGCTCCATAAAGCAAGGTGATGACCATGCCTACTTGAAGGCCTATGGTGTGGATCAGGGACAATCTGGGGAGGTGGGTGGTGGGCAGCAGTTTACCTGGGTGTTGTGCCCATACCACAGATGAGACCACTAAGGTTCCCAGCAAGACTGGCCTCTCAGCACTGCAGGGCCAGTGGGTCAGCATCAACACTGCCTACCTGTGGCTGCCGCCCACCTTACATGGGCTGGGCCTTCCCACCCACAGGCAAAGAAGAAGTGAAAAGAAAAAAGCAGCATTTTGACCTCTGGCAGATGCACAGTGAAGAGCTGCTGCGTGGCACCAGGGTGCTATCACGCCTGGACTGCCGAACCCTCCCTCCTCAGCCCTATTTGCTCTTGTTTGTGTACTATCATGTGCTACTGTATGATGTCACGTGTTGTCACATGTTGCCATAGGTTGCCTCCTGGTTCCCACCAACTCTGGCAGGGGCCAGCAGGCATGATGACATATGAAGAAACTGAGGTACAGACGTTCCGGGCCCTTTCTGGGCCACTCCAAAGAGACAGCTTCAAGCTCAGGTAACCCGAGAGCCCAGCCCAGGTGTATCACCTGTGAGCGACCCTGAAACACCAGGTGTGCTTTCCCAAGATGAGCCAGGGCCAGCAGCTAGCTCCTCCCAGCCCATCAAGGAAGGGAACCTGGGAGATATGTGTGGTGCTACAAGATGTGTAAGGACTTGGCAAAAAGTTTGCCTGCATTTTGCTTGTGTCCAGAGACTTTGCCTGAGACTGAGACAGTGCAGATAGCGTGAGTGCTACCCCCACCCTCGGGTATGGGGTAGCCTGCCTACAATATAAGGGAGGAAAAGAATGTTGTACTCCCCTCTCTTTTGTTCTTGTTGCTTTTGCTGTCTTTTGTCCCCTTGAAGTGTTGCCCCTGTGCCATGCCACTGATTACGCACTGCCTTGGAGCCAACTGATTACGCACCGAAACCTCCACAAACTGTGAGCTAAATAAACCTTTCCTTCCTTAACTTTGGGCATTAGGTATTTTGTCTCAGCAACGAGAGAAAAGTAACCAAGACACCCACCCTCACCTCCTCAGCACCTTTTCGGCCTCCTTGTTGTTGAGGACCTGTGGGTAGTAACGGTTCAGCTGAAGGACGATCCTGTCCACCTGCTGCTCACTCAGGCGCCCCTGGCCTGTCAGGAACGGCGTGTCCTGCACCAGGCGGTCGCAGTAAGTCTGATCTGGAACAGACATGTGGAGTGCGGGGCGTGAGGCAGTGCGGACCTGGGGAGGATTAAAACCAGCAGCTGTGGTGCTGACCATGGAGGCCCTACGCCTGCAGCACGGAGACAATCTCTGGAAGGTGCCTACAGGACTATGACATCCCAGCCCGCATGGTGGGCAACACACAGGGAGAGCTGCCCCAGCCTGCCAACCCACCTGGGCAGAAGATGCAAGCAGGCAGTAGGTGTAGCAGGAGTCCAGAAATGGCTGCACTCCCTGCCCCCTCTCCTATGCCAAAAGTTGATCAGGGAAATAGACTTTCAGAGGCGAAGAAGAATCTGTCCTCTACCGGGTTACCACAGGGCCATCTGGAAAGAGGTGGGGCCCAGGGAGACCACAGGCAGCTCTGAGAAGTCTGAGACACCGGCTCTGCAGCTCCCCACTGTCACACAGATGCAGGAACACAGGGCTCGGCATGGCCGCTGCTGGCACTACCAAAGGACAAGGCAGTTTTCTTTATCTCATCTCACAGAGTCCCCACTAAAGCACCATGGCTGCACCATCTTCCCCTTATCAATGCTCTGTAGACAGGCAGGTCTGTCCAGCTGAGGGTGGCGTGGAAGTGGCAGGCACAGGGAGCATGGGACCCAGGGGGCAAACGGATGCCTTGCCTCATACACTTCCAGCCACTGTCCTGTTGCCCCAAGCACACACGGGCTGGGGGAAAGAACATGGTGCTCTGCAGGAGTATATTTTATATATGTGATGGAGGCAGGCTGGGATCGGTTCAAATTAGATTGTTATAACCGAGGATACTATATATGATCTTCATGTTAATCACAAAGAAAATATCTACAAAACATAAACAAAAGTAAGAAATGAGAAGAGAACCAACATCCATTACTACAAAAAAAATCAACTCAGGGGCTAGGGATTTAGTTCAGCGGCACAGAGCCTGCCTGGCAAGTGCGAGGTTGTGAGTTCGATTCCCGGTACCAGAAAAAACTTAAAAAAAAAAAAATCAGCTCAACAACAAAGAAGGCAGTAATGGAAGAAATGAGGGTCAAAAAAGCCACAAGACATACAGAAAATGCTGTCTACAAGAGACTCACTTTAAATCTGAAGACACAATTAGGTTAAAAGTAAAAGGATGCAAAAAAAGATAGTCTGTGTAAGTAATAACCAAAAGAGCAGGATGACCATACTAATATCAAAAAAAGACTTTAAACAGAAAATTGTTACAAGAAAAAAATTACATTATATATTAATAAAAGGTTAATTCACTAAGAATATATAATAATTATAATAGTTACAAACATAGGCTGAGACAGAAAGTTGCAAGTTCAAGCCCAGTCTGGACAACTTATTGAGACCCTGCCTCAAAATAAAAATAAAAAGGGATGGGCAAGGGATATAGCTCAGTGGCACAGTGCCTGCCTGGGAAACACAAAGTCAATTCATAGTACCAAAAAAAAAAAAAAAAGGTAAAAATAAAAAGGGCTGAGATAGCAGTATAGTGCTCGCCTAGCATATGAGAGGCCCTGGGTTCAATGCCCAGTACCTCTCCTCCTCACTCACAGGCAACAATCACGTAAAAATATGCTTAACTACTAGTCTTTAGGAAAAACCAGGAGGAGATACCACTTCATACTCACTAGGACAGCTGTATTTTAAAACTGCAAGTGTTGGGGAGAAAGTGAAAAAACTCAAACTCTTGTGCACTGCTGGTGAAAATGCATAATACTGCAGCCACTGTGGAAAAGGGGATGGGAATCCTCAAAAAACATAAACACAGACTTATCACAAGATCGAGCAGTTCCACATCTAGGCACAAAACTTACCAACTGAAAGCAGATATTCAGACACTAGTGTGCCAGTGTTCCTAGCAACAGTATTCAAAATAGCCACAAGATGCAAATAAGTCACGCAACCGGTAAATGGATTTTCAAAATGTAGTATATACTTATGTACAACAGGATGGTGTTGAGTCATGGAAAGGGTGAAATTCTGACACATGGATGTTACAACATGGATAGCCTTGAAAGCACATGCAGCACAACGCCTGCCTGGCAAGCGTGAGGCCCTCGGTTCAATTCCCGGTACCAAAAAAGAAAAAAAAAAGCATATGCAGGCTGGGCCTGGTGGCACACGCCTGTAATCCTAACACTTGGGAGGCTGGGGCAGGAGGATCCTTGCAAGTTCAAGGTCAGGCTGGGCTACAAAGTGAGTTCAAGGCCAGCTTGAACCGCACAGTGAAACCCTGTCTCAAAAAGACAAACAAAACAAAGCAGGCAAGCATATGCTAAGTGTAATAAACCAGACACAGAAGGACAAATGTGTGATTTTGTTTATATAGTGTACTAAGAATAGTCAAATTTGGAGAAACAGTGAGTAAAATAGAGGTTACCAGGAGCTGGGTACAGAGGAAGAAAGGAGAGTTACTATTTAAGGAGTAGAAGTTTCTGTCTGGGATAATGAAAAAGTTGTAGATGCCGGGCGTGGTGGCATACCCCTGTAATCCCAGCACTCCGGAGGCTGAGGCAGGAGGATCACTGCGAGTTCAAGACCAGCATGGGCTATAAAGTGAGCTCAAGGCCAGCCTGAACTGCATAGTGAGACCCTGTCTCAATAAGACAAAAAATTTTTTAAAAAAAAGTTGTAGAAATGAGAAATGAGTAGTGGTGATAGCTGCCCAACATTGTAAATGTGCTGAGTGTCACCAAAATGATTAAAATGGTAAATATTATATTCTGCATATTTAACCACAATAAAGATGAACTGATAAGCGATGGCTCACTTACACAATGAATTCAGCACTAAAAAGAAAAGAGTTATTAAGCCATGAAAAGACACAGAGTCTTAAGTGCATATTTCTCAGTGGAAGAAGTCAGTCATACAAACCGTACGATTCTAATTATCTGACATTACAGAGAAGGCAATATCACGAAGACAATAAAATTAGTGGTTTCCAGGGCTAGAAGGAGGAAGGAATGAGTAAGGGGGCTTCAGGGAATTTTTAGACAGCAAAAGCTTTCTATATCATACGGTAATGGTGAATAAAGGACACTACGCATTTGTCGAGACCCACAGAATGTACAGTATAGGGAGTAAACACTAATGGAAACTCTGAACTTTAGTTAATAATACTAATAATGCACTAATACAAAGTGCAACAAACAATAGGGAAAATGCAAGGGATCAGTATAGGACCCTCTGGACTATTGCTCATTTTCTTTTCTTTTTTTTTTTTTTTTTTTTTTTTTTGGTGTTTTTGAGACAGGGTCTCACTACGCAGTTCAGGCTGGTCTTGAACACACTTTGTAGCTGGTCTTCCACTTTTAGGCTGGCCTCAAACTCGGCTCTGTTTCCTATAAACTAAAACTGCCCCAAAAATAAAGTCTTGGGGCCAGGCACAGTGATATGTGCCTGTAGTCCCAGCTTCTTTCGAGGCTGAGGCAGGAGGTTTGCTTGATCCCAGGAGTTCAAGGCCAGCCTGGCAACACCATAAGACTATTTCAAAAATAAAGAAGTAATATAGCCAGGAGTGGTAGCACATGCCTGTAATCCCAGCACTCAGAAGGCTGAGGCAGGAGGATCACGGCAAGTTCGAGACCAGCCTGGGCTACAAAGTGAGTTCAAGGCCAGTCTGAACTGCATAGTGAGACCCCGTCTCTAAAATGACAAAAAATATAAAAAATAAATACAGAAATACATAAATACCAAAATGTCTATTAATTAAGAAGAAAATCTATAGCTGGGCGTGGTGGCACATGCCTGTAATCCCAGCACTCAGGAGGCTGAGGCAGGAGGATCACTGCGAGTTCGAGACCTGCCTAGACTATAAAGTGAGCTCAAGGCCAGCATGAACTGCATAATGAGTCACTGACTCAAAACAACAACAACAACAACAACAACAACAACAAAAAAGAACTGGAGGTCACGGAAAGCCGATTAACTCCTGAGTTGGGGGAATTAGCTCAGAAGGGTCGCAAAAGACCTTTCTGAGTGACAGAATGGTCTGTCTTGATTCTGCCTGGGCTGATAATTTCACAGGTACACACATTTCTCAAACTGTTCACTAAAAACTAGTGCATTTGCTCACTAGTAGATCACACTTATACAAGGCAGATCTTTCACAAAATAGGGTTACCATGTTGCAAAAAGTGGTCTCTCCTCTGGTTTCATCCTTGGGGCACTGACTCAACAGGCTTGTGCCCTTTTCCGGCCTCCCGGGGTCCACATGGCCAGGTATAGTGGGCTCTGGCTCCAGTACGTGCAGTATCTCTACCAAACAGCTAAGGTGAATCCCAGCGGAACTCAGGAAGCAATCCCATGTGCCAGGTATTCTGCACACTCTATGCCTCCCTATAACCAACATCCTTCCACCAGCTCTGCTATGTGAGCACAATTACCACCTCAGATATGGAAACTGAGGCACAGCAAGAAGATAAAGTACCTCTTCAAGACTGTGCAGCCAGTCAGGAAGTGGCAGATCCGAGGTCAGAACCTAGTCACAGCTGTGTTGGGGTCAACTCTAGACATCCAGGCTGTCTGCCTCTCTTCCTAGCATACAAGTCACCTGTGCAATCGGGTACTTGAGTCTGCTCCCTACCAGACAGGAGCAAGCCCAAGGCTGCCTGTCCAGCGCTGTCTCCCCAGTGTGTATCACGTATATGCACAGGGCTGAGCTCACAGGAGGCACACAAGAAAGTTCTGGATGAATGGATGCTGGTCCAAGGCCCAAGGGTGAGGTCTGTTGGTGAACAGTGCCCAGTGCCCTGAAGCGGCTTCCTCCCACTGGGTGAGCTGCTAGGCCGGCAGGGCCTCCGTGGCCCGCAAGCCATGAGTCACAGCAGACCTGAGTCATCTGGCACGGGCGGCATAACCAGGGGCTAAGGCCAGCTGTGTAGCTCCAGGGCTGTGCCTTCCTGCAGTTCTAGTGAGCTGTGCATGCCAACCACACACAGGCAGCCACTGGGAAGCACAAAAAGACGCAAGCAGGGACCCCGCCTTGGGCCAGGCCCTTTGGTAAACAAGGCCAGAACTGTTTCCACAGGATAAAGGATGAATTGCTCTGCACAAAACCCATGAGCTTTCGCCAAGCCCACACTCTTCCCCCTTCCTCCCAGCTGGCACCAGGAGCATACACTCCACCCTTGGCACCCCACCTGAACCTCCTGAACCCAGAATGAAGTCTTCAGCCCAGCATTTGGGGCCCGGAGGCATCTGGCCCCATCTGCCCTCACTCAGGCCCCCAGTCCCCTGAATATTCCTCTGTGGCAGCCTTCAACCTGCCACACTGTCTGGCGTGCAGGCCCCAATCTGAGAATACTTGATTAATTTGTGCCCAGCTGGTTGTTCTCCTTCCCAAAAGCCAACCTGAGTCCCCCAGGCCCACCTGCTGGGGCTAGGCATCACCCTTGCTCCAGAACTTCTGCCAAAAGAACCCAGTTTGGCTAAGAGCATTTACTTGACAGCGCCCGAGGCAGGACACTTCCTGAGCACATCCCTGTGCAGACACGGCCCTCAGTGTTTGTAGGCATCAGCTTGCCTGCATGCTCACTGGCAGAGAGGACTGGTGGAGGCGGATCCCAGTCCATGCAGAGGGGCAGTGAGCCCAGGACCACACTTCTGCAGCCCTGCAGGGCTGCCCACTGCCCCCCACAGGCCTGGATCTCCATCTCCCATCCCCAAAAGAAAGTCTGTGGGAAGTGCTTAGAGGTCCAGTGAGCAGACAACAAAGAAAAACGGTGCCATGTTTCCACAGTGAGAGTCTAGAGGGCCCCTGCCTGGCTGTGGTCTTCCCGCTGGAAGGTCCCCTTACACAAGAAGTCTGGGATTGCCTGCTTCCCTGGGGTGGGCTGCCTCAGACTTGGCAAATACCCAGCTCTGGGATGGCCCCTTGGGCCAACACAGCTCTGAACGCATCCTGATGATCTCTCTAAAGAAGCTGGGGAATCAGGGATCTTGGCAGGGCACAGACATGCTAGGGCCAGGTCTCATTCTGCCTCTGCCACTGGGCAGCAGAGTGGCCTGTGGCACTGGTCCTATCTGAGACTCTGCCCCCAAATCCACCTACAGACATGGATCAGAAGTGCCCAAGGCTGGGCCTGGTGCACAGTAGATGCTCAGAAATGGGAGCCACAAGTAAGTATCTGGAGGGTTGACATAGGGGAACAGGTGGCAGCTGGGGTCTCTTCAGGCCTGGTAGCACCAGGTTCCCTTCTATAGGCCCCTATTTCTGTGTAGGACCCAGTGAGTGCAGAGGAGAGGGGACTGGAGACTTGTGGGACCACCCTGCTCCCCTGGGTCACCCCAGGTGACTTTTGCCACCGGAGTGAGACCCTCAGGAAGGAGGTGTGGCCCAATACCCGCAAGGGCTTCCCATCAAAGGGTAAAGCTCATGGAGCAGGGCTGCCCTGCTTAGCTGGCACCAGGAAGAGGATGGGCAGGTCCCCACACCAGAGAGGCTGGGGCGTGGTGATGGAGTGCAACAGCCTTGGGACGCGGGGAGTCCAGTCGCTGCTCCGATTGCTCCAGACCCGTCTGGGACAGGGGGTGCGCCCAGCTGGGGTCCCGTGGGCCCCCGAGGGGACGGAGGCGCTGGAGTCCGGCGGTACCACAGCCTCCTGGGCACGCAGCGCCGTCCCGCCTCTTCGCCGAGGTTCCGGGGATGGGCATAGCATCTTTGTGCCAGCCTCGGCAGCCGCGCGAACACCACTTCCTACTCTCAGACCTGAGCCGATCCCGGCCGCCGCCCGACCCACAGCTGCAGGGGCCAGGCTGCCGCGCGGTGCACCTGCGCCGGAGCTCACCTGCGGCCTCCGTCCGCGGCCC